GAAGTAAACATGTCCTAAGTAGTTGATATTGTGAATGTGAATTTGTGATCAAGTTTTATAAAAATAAAAATAATGTACCGTAATAATTACAATAAATAGGATAATGATATTTATGAAACACTCAAATGACTCTCAACTCAATAGGTAAAGGTGGGATTTGAGGTTAAATTTAATATTTTCACAAACTATTCGATTGTCTCTAATGTTCTTCTTAGTATAGATTTACCACACATCACCCATTTTGTAAGTATAGTACGGAGTAAATGTTTTATTTTCAATGCATATTTTATGGGTGCTTGTGGTGGCATGGAATTAATACTTACAAACCCACCATTTGAAATTACAAAGTTGTTTAATATCATAAATCATTCTAAGTAGGTCTACCGTGCAATTCTATAAATGAATGACAGTAAAAAATGCACTATATTGTAATATGATAGCAAATATCATGTTGGATCTCTGATAATATCATTATTTGGACATGCACATATACATATTGCACTCGTCAATATTTGTCACCGTGCCCAGTAAATCCAAGTGGTAAAAGGGTATATTTTATTTGTCTTTCTCGACGCAAGTTTGGCTTTTCCCGATCAGTGTATTGTTTAGTTTTCTATTTTCTATTCAGCTATTCTACGTTTTTATATTAAATGTACTTTAAGGTGTTAACATTATGTATTGAAGATTTCTTGTTTTTATTTGAATGTGTACTTTATGTGAAAGACATTACTTTGTGGAATTGAAATTTGGTGAAATTTACCATCAGACAAAGAAATGCTTTAGCTCATCCAACCTAGTCTTATACATTATTATTGCCTAGCTAATCAATGTTTAAGTAATAGTACCACTAGTAACAGTCTTTGTAGGCATACATTCCTTTTGAATCCAAAATTTGAAAGCTCTTCTGCTTTTTAACGAGGCAAAAAATCAAAGGCGGATACGAAAACATGGTGACAGGGGTAATAATGTGCAGCGAGAAATCTAAAGGTTTGTCATCTTTTTAAGAAGGCCATAGTTCCAAGGGCATGCTAAAATCCAATATATGAAGATAGTAATTTGAGGAGAAACTGAGATTATGAGACAGGTTTGACATTTCAGAGCAACAATACAAAATCGTGTTAAGAGTTCACGGGGGGTGTGAAAGTACGAGGCCGATGGTAAAATTTTCGAGAAACTAAGTGAAGATGATAACCATGGTGCTACAATTCTAAATGTCGCATTTCGAGGGGGATTGTGAGGTTGAGGCCGAAGTCATGATACTAAGGTCGAAGCTTAAGTGATAAATTCGATGATGGTGGTAAATATCTAAAGTTGATGCTTTGAGCAAACATTCCAAATGCAAGAACTTTGATGCAGCAAATATGAAGGCAAGCTATTGGTGGCAAAAAGGAGGTTGGTTTCTTCAGAAGGCCAAATCCTCTCAATGGATGCCCATCAAAGCAAATTGACATTCAACTTTCAATCATCCTCTTTGTGGATAGCGACCATTGCATGTGTATAATGAAACCACGTAAGCCATTCTCATCACAAAAGGTGACTGTTGCAAATGAATGAAGACTAGCTTTAGCCGTTGCAAATGACAGCTCCTATCAAAACATTAGGCTCCAACCTCAAAAAATGATAACCATCTTGAATAAAAAGGACATAGATGCAACTATGATCACCATTGGTACTGAAATTGTTTTATGTGCGCCAAAGGCCGATTGCCAAATGTAGGCACTAAAGGCCAATGGTCAAATGTATGCACTAAAGGTCGATGGCATAAGCCAATGGTCAAAGACGGATACTGAGGCCAAAGGTAGAGTTCAGTTAATAGAGTTGAATGAAGCTTGGCCTTAGTCTTCCCCCGCATACATGGTGACCGCTTCAACTGACTAAAGACTGGTCTCAATCATCATCTCCACGGGTGGCAAGTGTTGGAGCTGAATGAAGACTAATCCCACTTGCTTTTTCACAAATGAAAACCGCTACAAAAAAACACATGTCTTAGCAACCCTTTTCGCGAGTGACGACGGTTCGAAGTGGATGAAGATTGATCTAAGCCACCATCTTTACAAGTGGTGGCCATTGTGTCTTGACAAGACTGATCTTAGCCAATCTCTATATGGATGACGATCATTGTACGTGATAAAAGACCAGTCTCAACCATCGCCATCACTAATGTTGACCATAGCAAATGGATGGAGACTGTATTCCGTCGTTTCCTTAATAAGCGGTGAGTGTTGGAGTTGAGCTCCTTATCCAAACATTGAGCTTCAACATCTCAAAAATGATAACCATCTTGTTTAAAGGAGTGTGTTATTGTTGGTACTAAAGCTATGTTATATGCACCAAAACTCACGAATGTTGAACGCTACACCAAAGACCAAAAAGCAAAGGCAAATGGTAGAAGTCAAATGCCAATGTAGAAAGGCAAGGTCAATAGCTGAATGCAGAAGCCAATGCTGAAGGTAGAGGATGATGTTCGATGGCATAATCTAAGATTGAAGATGTGGGTTCCACATCAACTTGTGTTATTATATAAAAACTTATTGGCTTTATATTCAAATAAAATAACGCAACAAGTTACATCAGAGAACTGTGTTCGTGTTAGACCTCTATTATCAAACTCAAATACATTTTGATGTTACTAAAGCTTCAAGTTTAAAAAGATGTTTTGTCTTACCTTAAATGGTTTTCAAATAAAAGGTAATTGATAAACCTCATATTTGGAAACACTAAAAAGAAATCAAAGCACAAGACTAAGAGAGTAAGTGACATAAAAGAGAAGAAATAGAATATGAACATAAAGCCTCGAGTTGTATCCCACTATTTCATGTGGCATAAACCAACCTAAAAATTAACAAAAATATAGATCTATTAGCTTACCTTATTCAATTGAAAAGCGGTCATTTCCTCCTTCAATTCACGGTGTGGATGTCAGATTCCTTCGATGTAATCATTGAAGTGATCGAGTCTTTTAAGTCGGGAGTTGAACATGAAATCTGAAAACGGGAACAAACTGAGAAAGGAAGTAAAATTAAATGCAATGGTGGGAGACAGGACGATCGTGTGTGAACCGAAATCAAATTTGATGCCATTGATGATGATTTCAAACTATAGATCTAAATATGAAAATCCAAAATAGGAAAGGAGGACGATGATATGAGGAAAGGGAGTAATAGCCTCTCAAAAGAGGAGAAAGTGCGATGACGCTAAGGATTACACTACAATCGACACTACAAAGTGAGATTACAATAGACTATAGATTGATAAAGCCGACTATCTTGGTCTTATTTTAATACTATCCTCCGTCTATTTTTAATCGCAACATGTTGAATTTTACACTATTCACATGTTCTACTTTGACTACATTTTATATTATTATTTTATGAAAATTATTTTCTTAAAAAGTATTGTTCAATTAATCTCATTACAAATTTTCAAAATCTAATTTTTAAATATTTTTTACTAATAGAGATTAAGATATAATTACGGTTAAAGACGTGCGTTGGCAAGTGTGAAATGATGACCGTTGCAACTAAAAAAAACGGAGGAAGTAATAATATTATAATCACGATTTAAATAATAAAGTCATATGATGTTCTGTTCTACATCAATAAATCGATTTGAATCACAAATAAAATCATTAATATAAAATCATATAACAACGTATTAGAGGTGTACGTATTCATTTAAAATTGCATAAAATAATAACGAACCCATAGTTGTGGACTTTTAGTTGAAATTTTGTTGATATTACTCCTTGAAAAGTGATGGGCAAATATGTGACTTGATAACTATTAGTTACTATAATTGTGTTCAAAGTTACATCCTAGTAACTACATTTAAGTACTACGATGTAAACTTTGAGCACAATTATAGACACTAATAGTTAAGTACTACTAGTATTAAGTACTACATTTAAGTACTACCATATATATTAATATTGAACATGCAATTTTAATATACAATTTCAATGGTAATAAGATCACTAATATAATGAATATAATGTATGCTTGAATTATTTAACAATCTTTTTCCTTTAATTACATGTGTTTGATATTTATTATTCACTTAACTTGTTTATGACCTCAAATGTACATTTACAAATCATGAGATGACAAAGTATTATCAATTTGAGCGTTTTTTTTTTGTTTATTTATCTATAATCCTTTTCCGATTTGATCTCATGCTTCAATTTCAAAAGAATTCGATTCAAAAGAACTATTTTAACAATCTTGATCTTTAAATATAGAGCATTTTGGATAACACTAAAAGTGTTTAATTGACTGAAAATTGTGAAACTCTAACTCCAACAACGTAGTTGAATTTGCTGAATTCTGAAAAAATTGTATCAAATATAATAATAATGAATTGAAGGAATTATTATACGAAAAAGAGCTAAATTGTCTCCTACAATAACTTCAATCAATTTAATGAAAAAGTAATTCCAACTTTACGTATTTTGTTCATTACTCTGTAGCATTGGATCAGACAAAAAAATGAACCGTGTTCCATTCCACACTAACTAATACGACAGTAGTTGATACTAATAAAAGAAAAGAGTTGGATCATAAACTTCATTTTCGGCCAATTCAAATATATAGTTCACATGACAGCCGGTTTGATATGAACAATACTCTCTCTGATTATAAATTTCTTGTGACTTATGCATATTTTATTTTGTATTCTCAACTTCTGATACACTTTAATTTGTACCATCTGTATGCATTTTTATGTATTCATGTTCACAATTCTTGCAATATTTTCATTGAAAGTTCTTCATAATTCTTACTTTTCATTTAGGAAGCACTTTTTATTTGAACTTGGCCATTGATGTGAAACGTGAGAACGTGAGAACGCCACATTTACCCCAATGTGATGCACAATGAAACTCGTCTATTTCACTTTTTCTATGTTTCGCAATATTCACCAAAATATCACGTAGTGTTAGCCTAATTTGAGCAAATTTAAAAATGTGCAAAACAAAAAAGCAGTCCATAAGTAGCTTCAGGAATGGTGGCGCTTCCTCAAGTTACGAAAAGACCGCAAATAGCAGGTTTCTGAGCTTGTGGGTTCGCCTCTAGTCAAATACCGGTTTTTGAGCTTAAAAGAAGAAGACCAGCGAAGGTAGGGAGGAGAATAAAAACATCTGGTCTGGGAAATAGAGGATATGCACCAAGGTGATAATAGATTGTGATTCGCGAAGCTGGAACAAATTTCTACTGAGTTCTATCAGCATCGACTTTCAATAGCCGGGTTTTTCATGTATGGAGCCAGAAATGTATCATTAGGGTTGAAAATTTGCGGTGTAAAGCTTAATACATCAAGCTATACAGTATGTTTACAGTTTAGAAATATTTATACATATATACTTCAGGACATTTTTTTACAAGAAGCAAAAATTACTGCCCCATTTCTTCAGGTGGTCTACATTCTCCTGCAACTCAACTGCTGGAGGACTTGTCCCACATCTCGCATGGCATCAAAACGACATTTCTGCTCCAGGTAATGCACAGGAAAAAGGTTTGACAAAAAAGATTAACCTACACATATCTACATAGGCGCAGAATTGAAATTGTAGTCAGGGTTGGAGCTTGCTACTTCCTTTTCTGTCTCTCTTTTCTTTTGTTTTCTCAATCCTGGACTTTACTGCCTTACTCCCTGGGAGGTGGAGTTCTGGCGTCTTTGCTTTTCTTTTCTCAATCCTGGACTTAACGGCCTCACTCACTGAGAGGTGGAATTCTGGCGTCTTTGCTTTTCTTTTCTCAATCCTGGACTTAACGGCCTCACTCACTGAGAGGTGGAATTCTGGCGTCTTTTCTTTAGTTTTCTCAATCCTGGACTTTACAGCCTTACTCTCTGGGAGGTGGAGTTCTGGCGTCTTTTCTTTAGTTTTCTCAATCCTGGACTTTACGGCCTTGCTCACTGGGAGGTGCAGTTCTGGCGTCTTATCTTTTGTTTTCTCAGTCCTGGACTTAATGGCCTTACACACTGGGAGGTGAAGTTCTGGCGTCTTTTCTTTAGTTTTCTCAATCCTGGACTTTACGGCCTTGCTCACTGGGAGGTGCAGTTCTGGCGGAAGAGGCAATGGATTTCCGGTTTTGCGGTTAAAAGCCCTTACACAAACATATCCTGGATGCAACAATTAGAACACATTTCCAGTTTTCCAGTCTTTCAATTGGATTGGAAATTAAGATACGAAAAATGGGGATACCGAATGATGTAAGTAAGAGAGGGTTGATGTCTATCGGTAGAATCCATCACAAGATTTGTTATAACAATTAGAACACATTTCTAGTTTTCCACAGTGTCTTTCAATTGGATTGGAAATTAAGATTCGAAAAATGGCGATACCGAATGATGTAAGTAAGAGAGGGTTGATGTCTATCGGTAGTATCCATCACAAGATTTGTTTTAACAATTAGAACACATTTCCAGTTTTCCACACTGTCTTTCAATTGGATTGGAAATTAAGATACGAAAAATGGCGATACTGAATGATGTTAGTAAGAGAGGGTTGATGTCTATCGGTAGTATCCATCACAAGATTTGTTTTAACACTAACCAAACATAAGAGCAAAGTCTAAAATGGTATGGGGGTGTTTTGCAGCATCATACCTTCCCAGAAACATCTCTGCACATCTTCAGTTGACATCCCTGTTTATTTCACACATCAGGGAGCTATGGAAACCAATGTAAGTTGAAGCATTTATTACATTGTATATATTGTCTCTACTCTACCTCGGAATATTGTTTTTATTGACGTTCCACAGTATAAAGTCTTTCTTCTCAGCTCCCATACCCATGCTCTCGGAACGCTTATAGGTTGCTTACTGGATTCATAATCAGCAAATACCTGCAAGGATGTTTCCGTTGACCATATCAGGATCCTCAGCTTACATGTCAACAGAGACTTATAAGCCAAGTTTTTAGCAAGCTCAACACATCAGTGACATCACACCTCATTAACTTGGAAGTAAGTTCCATTGAGTGGAAATCTTCCTTTAGTTGCTGTTCTGCAAGGTATCTGGGTAACCATCACAGGTCAGTTCTGAATTCCGATCAGACTGTCAAATATGCTGGGAATTACTCACAAATTTTGTATGGACACGATAAATTTATGTTATCTCACCAGAAGTGTTCCTTGAATTGTTTCAACATCATCTTCTTCTTCCGGTCTGTTTTTCGAAGTCATCGAGGAATCTGCTGCAGGTCACATGAAACATATCAGAGGACAACACTATTTTGATCTTCAAGATCAGAATGGCAAAGCTATATAGATGTTTATACAGTAGCACTATGACACTATGGAGCTAAATTGCTCTAAACCTACCTGGTTTCTTAATAATAGCAAGCAGATATCGACAAGGGTCATCTGGTTCTCGCGCCTCTAACTGCATTCAAATGTTATATAGTTTCACTCCAACATCACAGTTATGTAAAACAAATAGAAGATTGCAATTCTTTTAAGTTGAAGACTGTTAAAAACTAACCCCAATAACAAGTGGGTGTGTATCTGGAAGTTCATAGCTGCATCAAGTGGATACAGAGAAAATATTTCAAATGTTAAGGCATGTTGAATAAAATACATGATCGAAAAGATGCAATTGTGATAATTGAAGCTTCTTCATATTGTACGTACACTTGGTGCTCTGTCCTTAAACGGCTTATGCTTTTCCATTTAGGTAAAGGGATGGATGCAGCCTCTGGAGCTGCAACTATCAAAGCATTAGATAGATTTAGGTTGTCCTCCATTACTCTGCTCTCTTCCATGTAGGTCAATAGATTTTCCATGAATGTCTTCTTATCAAATTTGATAGTTGGTATTTCAGCAACACCAAGATCTTCCATATCCCTTTCTGTTGATTCAACTTGATCAAGTAGTGGATACTCACCAGAACTTTGTTCACAACAGACTGGCAAATGCCCCAACTCTGACAAGCCACAACATTCTTCAGGCAAAGTAACAAGTGCCATTTCAGAGTCAACAGAAGTATCAGCTGATAGTGGACGAAAAGAACCAACTAGACTTCTCTCTGACAAGTCACCTTCTCCAGGTAAGGTGACAAGTGCCTCTTCAGTGTTGATGGAATTATCAGTTGATGGTGAATAAACAGAACCAACTAGACTTCTCTCTGACAATTCTAGTTCTTCAGGTAAGATAACCAGTTCCTTTTCAGTGCGGATGGAATTATCAGCTGATTGTTGATAAACAGGTCCAACTAGACTGCTCTCTGACAAATTACGTTCTTCAGGTAAGATAGCAAGTACCTTTTCAGTTTTGATTGAATCATCAGCTGATGGTGGAGTGCCATCAGCTAAGGTAAGAAGTGCCTGTTCAGTGTTGATGGAATTATCAACTTGTGGTTGTGGATAAACTGGACCAACTAGGCTTCTCTCCTGCGGCACTGGCAGGGTAAGGCTTGCACTGCATCCATGTTAGTGTTTAGGTTGCATGGAAGATAAAAGGTACATTCAAAATGTTTTGTGGCACCTCTTGTTAGCTTAAAATAGTACACAATAGCCAGGTAACCTTTTTTTTTTTACAGAAATTTACTTCAAACTCTAAAAATTTTATTTGTATAGATTTAGCATCATAGTTGCACAAGAATCCTTAATCTAAACAATTCCATTAAGAAGTTGAGTATTTATTTGCTCAACATCAAAGAATATAAATGATAACACTCAATGTCTAAAAGAAAAGATCATGAGATGTTATAGCAATATATAGAGTAGTTGAAACAAACCTACCTTGTGAAAGCACTTGCAAAGTGCCTGCACTCTGCTCTCATTGGACAAGCATTGCAATTTGGTCTTTCTTTTGTACAAAACACCTGTATCAAATCAAATTTACAGTGGCTACTTTTCTTGTCATGCAAACAAGATACTTAAAAAACTTATGAAGACTCACGTTCTACCTTTCCAAACGTGATCATCTGTGTGTGAAATTCATACCTGCAAAATGGATGAATGGTTCTTTCACTTTACTACTGAATACTTAATTATGCACTTCTTGATGAAGAACAACATTGATAGAAAGAGATCATCTACATACAGGGTTAAGTGATCAAGTGTGCATAGCCGTGGCCAAATATACTTGTGAATAGAGTTGACATGTGGATACCTATATCGTAATGAATGATAACAATAATAGAGGTGTAAAAAGAAAATTATGGTTATTGCTGTGCACTTATACACGGGTACTTAATGATAATGAAATATCACTTACTTTTTCAGAAGATGCATTGGTTGGCTATTTGGCAGTAAATGAATAGGAACCCATCCCAGACGAACTAGTACACGGCCAACATTGATGTCAACCTAATTGGATCAGTGAAGTAAAACGATAATGGTATATTCCATGTAAATAGATATATTTACTTTTTGGGATGTATTAAATTAATTGTTGGGATGTGTCAAGTTAATTGTCCCATTTGCCTTTTTGGAAAGAAATTCACCCTAAAAGCCTCTTACTTTTTATATAGTCTACAATAATTAATCTTAAATTATGATACGGAGGAAGTACTATCTTACTCCAAATACCAAAACTTTCAAAACATAAATGTACCTTTTCAGTAGATTAAGGCACTTTTCTTTTAAAGGAAACAACTCAAAATGAAACCATAGCTAATGTATTTGGAATATGATTAGGAAATATATCAGATAGTCCCTCCGTCCCTAATAACTTTGTTATCTTTTCCTTTTTGATCGTCTAAAAAACTGTCACTTTCCATATTAATCAGTGAATTTGTGGTTCCTATTATTTCTACCTCCCCTGCACAAGCCTCAAACCCCTCAATCACATAATTTTTATTTTATTATTTCTCGTACCAGTCAAACTTTGCAAACTTCGCAAAGTTTTGAGGGACGGAGGGAGTATATGATTGTAAAATATTAGTGATCTTACCTTGTGGAGGTTAGACAAATCACATGTACACACCATACACCATGCATGCATACACACACAGACATATATATATATATATATATATATATATATATATATATATATATATATATATATATACACACACACACACACACACACACATATATGTAGATAATTCTTATGAAAGAGATAATAAGCTTTAAGCCCTAATTCTCTTCTTCTATAAAAGTTTATATGGTATCAGAGCCATAAGAGGTATAATCGGCCCTCTTCTTTCTCATGGCCAACAACAACAAAATCACACACCCGGAGGATCTCCAAGAACAGTAAACTTCTCGCTAGACAATCCACACTCATCACTGGGACCTCTTCTACCACAATCATCAATTCTACAACTCTTGATGGACTCATGCTTAATCCCAATCAATTGGCACAACAACAACATCCAAGCCTGAGTCTCAAAAGAGTTTGGGGTCGGCACTCCAATTGATTGGTACTCCAATTGTCATCCCACCATTCCTGTGGTCGTGCCAATCATCTCCAACGGCACCGGCAAGATCAGCTCTCCTTTGTAATTATTAAGTTATGGATTATAGCAATCATCTAAAAGTTGCTACGGGCAAGTGGTCAGATCTACTACGGCATGCGTATATGTTAGGATTCTGGATGTAAACCCTTTATTGGGTCTGATTGAACTTCCAATGCAATCTGAACTAGACTAGAGCACAACTATGGCATCGATCCAACGTCAATAACCCATTTACACTCTCAACATGAATCTAAACCTACATGGACCTAACCTATGACACTAGACTCCGTAAACAACTATCCCCGTTACTGCAAACTCGTTCCCTCATCATACCACCTCCGTCCCATATTGGATGTCTTGTTATAGTTTGGCACAATTATTAATAAAGTGGTTGAAAAGTAAAAATTCTGGTTGAGATTTGAGTATAATAAAGTAAATAATATAGACCGCATATACTGGACTTTTATTTTGGGACAACTCAAAATGGAAAGTAAGACAACAAAAATGAGATGGAGGGAGTTTTGCTTCTACTTGTCAGTCTCCGGATTTAGAGGTACATGAGTAGCGAGAAGTTATGTCAGTGGAATCAGATGCTTTAGTTCAAGAGGGTACTTAGGAAGTGATTTTTCCTCGAACTAGAATATTGTGGATTGTAAATGGGTTTACACAGTCAAATATAAACCGGATGACACTTTAGATCAGTTTAAAGCTCATTTGGTAGCAAGCGCTTTCATCACTACAGTGATTATACAAACTGGTGACTAAACCAATTAATACTTAAGTGGTTCTTACCGTTACTCTTTCGTGCTTCTTGCATGGGGATCTTTAAGAAGAAGTCTACATGAAGCATCTTCTGATTTTAATAAGGATTTTGGTTTTCTCTGTGCCGTCTTTGAGAATCTATCAACGGGCTCAAACAGACCCCTCATGTATGGTATCACTCATTGTGTGATTTCCTCTCCTGATTTTGTCAATCTGTCTCTAGCACGAATCTCTTAATTTTCTCCTCCAAAGGGAGACACATTTATGTGTTAATTTGTGTCGACGATATTATTGCAACGGTCTTCACACCACTATTGACTCTTTGGGACAAAAAACACTATTAAAGACACATGATTTTTTATGTAGATCAAGTCACTCCTAACAACAAGGGTTTGTTTCTTGATGAACATCAATATATTATATATTGTTAAGCAGCATTAAAATGGATGGTGCAAATTTAGTGGCTACCTCATTGGTGCCCTTTGCTTCATTAAATTTATTTGATAGCTCTGGTACATGTGATGTCCCCTTTATAGGCAGGTACTCGTTTCAGTGCAATACTCGAGCCTCACCCGACCGACCATTCTGTTTGGTTCATGCATGAACCAATGACAAATCATTCGCATTTAGGTCAGCGGGTCTTGTGCCACCTGAAGGGCACTGCTTCTTCCCATAGTTTCTTTCTTACTCATGCCGATCTCTTCCTATTTGTGACTGTTTAATATCTTGAAAGTCCGCCAAACAATACACCATTGCCAAATCTTTTACGGAAGCTGAGTATCGTGCCCTCTCTATCGATGCCTCCGAAGTGATCTGGATCGAATCACTCTTACACAAATTGTGGGGTTGCCCTCCGGTGTCACCAATTTCCTTTGTGACAACAAGGGTGCCATGTCTTTGTCTGCTAGTCCAGTGTTCCATTCCCGCATGAAGCAAGAGACGATTGGTTTCCATTTTGTGGCCTTCGTGGTCTCCTTTCTGTCCTTGATATCCCTTCCCATGCACAGTTGACCGATGTTCTCACAAAACCATTGCCACAACAACCGTTTCTCCTGCCCATGATTCTTGACTGTGATCAAATATCTGGCTTGTGGGTCGTATAGAAGGAAACAAATCATAATGAAATTGCAGGAAATATATTAAAGATATGATTGCAATATATTAGAGATATGATCATAATATATTGACGATTCTTATCTTATTGAGGTTGTACAAACCGCCTCTGCACACCATATGTGTGTGTGTGCGCACACACAATTCTTATGAATAAGATAAGCTCTAAGCCCTAATTCTCTTCTTCTTCTTCTTCTTCTTCTAAAAGTCTATATTTTCATCGTAAAGTGATCAACTTACTGGGAATGCTTGGTGTTGGAGGGTTAAAAGCCGTATGCATTCAACACTTTTCAATCCCAAGCCATATATGCTTAAAAGATATTCCCTGCGAAACAAGGATAGGTCTCTAAGTACTAGAATGCACTAAATTTTCTTAAACTTCTGGTTGAATAAAAGTTAATGCAAAAGTACAAAAAAAGAAAGATGATTACTTTGCGTTCTCAGGTGGAGCATTTCGAAGCCATTCAAGATCAATACTCCCAAGCTCCTTCTTGAGAAGATCAATGCAATTCTTCAGAAATAAAAACACACAGATTGAGTTGCAATGGCTTAACATATAGTATTTAAGTTCATCATTTGAAGTGAAACAGTCTTCAATTGATCTTGATTTACCTTTATTCTCTCAGCAAGTTTTTTGTCCATTCCTCTATCTGTAATAGCTTTGGAAATGTCATCGACATGAGAAGAGCTAACCGCGTTCCAATCTAAAGCACTGGATGTAGTATCATCAGTTCTCATTTTATCATCGAATTGAGCACACAACTTTCTTATATTATCTCGATGGTTGACACTGTATCCTTCTTTCTCTGTTTTCCTGATTAAAAAATTCATTACAACTTCTTTTCTATTTACTTCCTTCTCCTTTTCTTCCGTGCTTAGATTTTTAATCTGCCTTTTGTCAATTGAGTCACTTTCCACTGAAGGTACTGACATTTTGGTACTTATGTCTCTGTTTGGGTAGTGAGCAGCCAGTGACATGAAAGCAGAGCTGCAAAAGTATTTGCTTCCAGTAAGTTTAGTTAATGATGCACATCCTCTTACATTCACCATCTTTCTCTCATTTTTTATGGTCGATAAAAAGTTTCTTGCACGTACCAATTAGGGACTAACACTTACCTTGATGAGATGTCCGATACATTTTGAGTTAGAAATGCTCCTGCTACCGAATCTACAACTGAGCCTTTCCAGGGAGAGAATCGTCTATTACCTATGAAGTTGATAGTTCGTCTTATACTAGCATATATACTTTGGTTTATGCAAGTTTGAGTGCACAATTATTTGGAGAACCACAAAGATAAAGTTGAGCAGATGAAACATTGGATGTTCTGTATAAAGTTGTTGCAACATTACCTTGGATAATATGCATGCGGGAAATGAATGATGCAATTCGTCCTCGGAAAAGCTCCCTTTCCTTCTCCCATTTTTCTTTATACTTCTCAGCCATTTCAGTGTCCTCATTTTCTTCTTTTTCTGATTTTCCCATCAACCATTCCCACTCTTTTATTGTATCTATGTCAAGGTCAACTTTTGCTTCTAACTTGACCTCTGTCAACTTTTTCTCCTTGACGGTTACTAGGGCTCTCTGTTCAATATTCTTCTTCTTGGTGATAGATTCCTTTTGTTTTTTGCCACCTGGAGACCTTTCTTTGCTAAGAGCCGAACTGATAACCTTTTTTCTGCTTAGTTTATGTGACCCTATAAGATGTGAATGACATGGGCATCAGAACAGTTTAACAGGATCCCCTGCAAATTCAAGAAAAGTGTGTATTATGATTTCTACCTTTGACCTCTTCATTCATACTTTCAGAGAGAATGCGCATGAAGTTAAAATTCTTTGTTCTCATATTTCGAAAGAATGGCATAATCTTCTCCCCCTGAGATCTTCTACAGTACACCTGCAATATACTCATAGTTACACTATCTATGACAATGAAATTCATATCAATACAAGGAAATCATTCCAAATGGCCAAAGTAGTGTAATTGTTATGACATACGTAGTGCATCTGCTTTAGAGAGTCTGAATCCAACCTCCCAATGCTATGTGAAGTCTGAGAACTTTGAATGCCATAAAGTTGGTCTACAATGGCCGGGTTATCCTTTCTAGACTTTTGTGCATTAGAGTTCAGTGCTTGCTGAAGGTTGTATTCTTTTCCTGTACAGTAACTTTTCATATCCTCCTTACTGACATCTGTGACTAGTTCTTTTTTAATTAACTGGCTTTTATGTACCAATAAGTTGTTATTCTTTGCTGAACGGCGCTTTCGAGGTGTCAACTGTTTAGGTGTCTCGGGTTTAAGAGATTCACCACAAGGATGATCATCTTCCGCCTCTGCTACTTTCTTCATGGAATAATGCTTCTTCATTCTCAGTCTCCGCCTAGGCCCGAGGTTGTCAGTTTCAAAGATGCTCCTGCTTCTTTTCCTTCTCCATGATGTTCCTGCCAACTCTTCTGCAGCAAACCAATACCAATTAGCATCTTACTCATGGATAGTTGGGCATGCATCCACCTCATTAAGCAATGAAAAATGCTCTCATTCCATTAATCTTTTATTTCCCCTCCCAAAATGTTCATTATTCCTTTTAGGGAAAATCCAAATATAACCATCCTTTGCTTCTTATGTTCTAATTGATTGATTTCGAAACCATACGAGCTCATTGCCTAATCAAAAGGGGAGAACATTTAGGAGGGATGTAATTTGGACTATAATGGTATAATATTACATCCCAATGCGTGTGTGCGGGTGTGTATGCTCTCTGAATGAAAAAAGTAGGGGTGGACATATCGGTCTGGTTTAACCGAACCAAATTGAACTAAACCAAACCGAAACCCAACCATATGCAATTTGGATCAAGTTTGGTAGTATTTCTTTCAAACCGTATTAAACCGAACTGAACTGAAATTGAAAAAAACTGAACAAAACTGAACCAAACTAAAAAAATTCAATAAAACTTTCATGTGTTAATATAAATAACAAATCCAAATCGAACTAAACCGAACTGAAAAATAGTATGGTTTTTGTTTAGTAATAATTCTTCCAATCCGTTCTAAACCGAACCGAACGAAAATCGATAAAAACCGAACCGAAAACCGATATCCCCACCCTCAAAAGAAAGTGTCAAGAAAAAAATAAAAAGCAGAATGGAACAAAATTAATGTTGTTTAGAAATTTACTCACATTTAGATTTCTTAGCATTTATATAATAGGAATATATTTAAAAAATGAGAATAAAAAACCTGAATTTATTAATTAGTTTGAACCAATGTTTAAATTCCTCGACAATTTTCCCACCCCAATTTTTTTCTATGATGCCCTGTTTTTCTTTTTCTTTGTTATTTTCTAATTATGGTTCATTAGGAAAGGATTTAGGTAAATAATATCATTTGATACGAATATCGTTGTAATGATTGTATGAGATTAGGGGTAGACTAGACTGGGACTGGTTGATTTCCGGACCGAGACTGGAAAACAAGGTTTCAAGCTAGTTTCATTTCCGCACGGGAAAGAAAGAGGACATATTTTGGGTCTCAAATTTTGGGACCAGTACCCAGTCCCACATCAAGTTGCAATTGTTTGCATTTAAACCATTGTGAAGCATTTTAAAAGGGGTGGGGTATATTTAAAAGTTGAAAAAGGGTAGGGACTGGGGAGGGGTGGAGGGTTTAAAACTTTAAAATATAAAAAAAATAAAAATTGTGACCAAACCAAGATCGTCGGGGGACATAATTGGCTCAGAACTGGAAATAAAGGCCTTGAGCCCCATACTTATTCTCTTCTCCAAGGGCCTGTTTACTTCCGACTTAATGGACTTAATGAGGATAATGACTTAATCATGCAACCATTAAGTCATATTTACGTACAACTTAATTGAAAACATGACTTAATCATTCAATCAAATAATTGTCTTAATCATTAATCTTGAAAATAATAATCATTCCCATTAATACACCTTTTATGTCAATTTTTAAAGTCATTTATGGAATAGATTTATGTTAATAAATGAAATTTCCCATTGACATTATAATCCAATAATAATACTAAATTGATTATTTTATTCAATTCAGACTATTTATAAACATACAAAACAAATAACCTCATATACAACCCAGACATATATCTTACTCATAGTGACATCTTCATCTAGAGAGGACTTGATAGAAAAAAAGTAAACAACTCTTAGAGAGTGAAAGTCACTTCAACAAAATAAATGTAAGATCGTCTTTATTGACCTGTTCTACATTCCTCTTCCTATAAATACCATGACTATAAATTATATATCCAGTTCCAAATCTTTGTTGGGAGTGGTTCCAAAATGTGGCCTATTTTAAAAAATGGATTGGTTCATAACTTAAAGTTATGAAAAAACTAAATCGTTTCTAAATCGGGACCAGACTAGGACTGTCGGGTGACCCGGAACCAGGGGATCCGGGAAATGCGGTTATTGGGGGCACTAGGTGTTTGAAAATTTTGTTTTTCCTTTTTTTTTTTAAAAGCAAAAGTAAAATCTGAATCAGTTTTCAGAAGTTAGTCCTTCCCAACTTCTAAAAAACTGTTTCTAGGAACATTTTGAGACATCGCTCAAACACTTTAAGGGAGTATCTGCGATTGCTTCTACTTCAAAAAAATGATTTTTAACGTGATTTTGGATAAAGTACTTAATACTACGTAGTAAAAATTGGTAGTGTTTGAGAAAAAGAAAAAGTTGGTAGTGTTTCATAAAATAAGTATTTTTTGTGTAATAAAAAGGTGAAAAGTAGTTTAAAGCACCCTTCCACATGCTTCCAGCTTTTAATTTTTAACCGATTAATTTAAACAAAAGTTGTCATTTGAAAACACTCTTTTCAGTTTTTTTAAGCCAAAAGCTAAAAGGCTAAAAGATAATAATTTTACTAATAATAGCTTAGGTTCAATTTTTATATAGTAGTATTTAAGTGGCCAATGACCATGACATTGTAGTCAATAATATTTTTGAAAATTATCAAAACTTAATAAACCTGATTATGAAAATAAAGATTGAAAAAAAAGTAATTTTAAATCTTTATTATTCGAACAAATAATTGACAAATCGAGTTATAGAAGGTGTATTTCTGGGAAAATTGATTTGGTAACTGAAAATCGAATATTCTTTCTCAACTCTTAAACTACTCTTTCTTTAGGCTTTAAAAATTAGAATAACATAATGTTTAGAAGATAAAATCCGAGTCTTACAAAACATGAATAGATAATGGGCCGACTCTATGCATCTCTTACATTCCAAAATGATTGTGGATTATTTAATGGGGGCACTCATATTTTTTGGTTGGGGGCACAAGTAATTAATTGATTAAAAATAATAAAAAAAATACTAAAAAAGACAAAGGTTATTGGGGGCAAGTGCCCCCATCCTCCAAAGGGTGCATCCGCCCCTGCCCGGAACCAAGTTCGGGACTCCCGTCTCACTAATTCTTTTAGGACTGGCTGGTCCGGAGCGGGAACTTATCCATGCTTATGTGCATGTCAAAAGAAGTATCCTTATAGTTTAGGTTTACACAACAAAAGTCACATATGAATGAGCCTCAACATGGACGTAGCCAAGGGAGCCAACCCGTGCCTTGCCCACTCCATTTTTTGATAAAAATCTTTATTCTTACTTGTAAAGAAATACAGAGTATGTGTGAAAATGTATAGGAACAAATTCTTTATCCAGCCCACCCCAACATGACTTTTATTAATTACCTACTTAATTAAGAGTTTTTTATGTAAATATTACTAATAATACTTGAGTTTACAAAAAAGTGACCCCATTTTTTTATGTAAAAATTACCTACTTGAGTTTACTAATATTAAAAGTAGTAATATTTGTGTAATTTTTTCCTTAATTAATTTAATTAATGAGTGAACAAATGATATTAGTAACCCCGTTAAATTAGGATGATTGGATTGTTTGGTAAATTAGAACTACTCGCAATTAATTGAACTATAGATTGCAAATATACCATCCATTTTCACAGTAAAAACAAAACACTCATGTTAGATAAATTAAACAAATGTTTCATTCATTTATTTAAATTCAAAATGACCACGTTTACATAACTACTCTTCTGAAAACAAAACAATGGCCACGTTTACATAATTACTTTTCTAAAAGTTAATCGCTAGAAATGAGAATAAATAGAAAATCCCATTCATATTACTCTTTAAAATGTGCGGGATAAAAATATTACTTCACCCGTCCCTAAAAATTCTTCTCACTTTCACTTTTCTTTTTGGGACATCCCAAAAAATTCTTCACATTTCCCTTTCTGGATCCTTTCGGAAAGTTTTGTGTGACTACCATTCATTTACTCTTTTCTTACTCAATCACAACCATACATTTCCACTTTATTCTCACCTTCTTAAACTCCTATCCAAGCCAAATCGGGAATAATTACTAATAATTTAGTAATTATTAGTCACTGTTTAAATTCACAATTACGGGGTGTTTGGATCTGATTCTCAAAAATGTTCTGCTCCTTCAAGGAGCAGAAGGAGAAGCTGGAGTGTTTGGGTGAAATTCCAGAAGCACTTCTGGAGCTCTAATTTACTCTCAGAATCAGTTTTTTTCTGGAACTCTAATTTACTCTCAGAATCAGTTTTTTAGAAGCTGGGGTACCAGCTTCTGAAAACTGATTCTGATTCTGCTTCTGCTTTTAAAAAAGAAGTAGAAGCAGAATCAGTTCCAAACACCCCTACATGCAAGTTACTACGGTGTAAAATTTTTGTCCTTCATTTTTTATTAGTACTATTTGACGAAAAACCCAATGACCGTATGTTCCATGTGCATAAACGAGTATCTTTTACAAAAAAAAATAAGACCCCACATTAAAAAGGAGCAGAAGTAGTTGATGATTCTCTTGCAAACTAGCCATTTAAAAAATGATGGTTTATGTAAAGCAATTGACGAATTTTGATCATAATTATTTGATTTCCTGTTTTATGTGCTTCGAGTGTGTCGTTTAGTTCACTAATATGCACAATTGTTTTCATTTCCCAGCTAATATACTGGCAAAGAGCTAGAGTTTGAAGCAAAATCTAAAGCGTGCAGACAAATTAAGAAATTAATAAGTGTAATTAATAGCAAGAACAACTAGTAAGGAATTAAGGATGGACTAACGAATTCCTGCTTTGTTTGTATCTCCAGCCGCCATGGCTATGCTGTGCTCTGGCCAAATCGTCAAACGCCCGCCTCAAGAGCTTAAGTATGATATATTATGGTTTGGGATAATTAAGAAACATATTATTATGTATGAAAAAAATTAAAAAGAAGAACCCAATGCTTGAACAAGCGGCAAAGTTGATGATCGACACATGGCAGCTCTAATATGCTGCCACCAGTTTTTATGAATGGAACTGTGGAAGTGGGTTATATATTGCGGAGTGTGGATCACCACTTCGTTTACACATCACAGTTAAAAACAATACACAAAATATCAACGTGTCCTTATATTATAGACACTTTGTCTGTGAACACACTATCTACAAACAAAAAACCCTCACAAAAGTGTGTAAAATTATGTATAACACTAAAATGTGTACACATTTTTTCCTTTTATCAGCGGACAAAAGCCCTCAACAATTTACTTCTTTATTCGAGTGCCCATTATACATTACGAGTTAATGTTTGCAACACTTGTACGGAGTATAATATTGCACTAGATTTAACTAAATGATATGGCAAATTATTTCAAATGTTGTTATTGAGGGAGGATTATTTAAAAAAAATGATATCAACATTTCAAATGTTGTTATTATATGCAGGTCCTAAATAAACTTGTCATTCCAGCGCAGGGTACAACTGAGCCTTTTGTCCGCTGTTGCGCACCTGCGACGACGGAAAACGGAAAGCACCGAGCAACGACGAACAACATTCAATCACGAGCGATTAGCAGCAACCTCCGGTGGCGGGCATAGATCTAGGAGACAAGGCGAGTTCTGCCAGGATGAGTCGTGAGCAGGACGATGAGCGACAGACCAGCTAGTTCTGCCAGGACGAGTCGCGAGCAGCGACGATGAGCGACAGACCAGCGAGTTCCTGCGAGTTCCTGCAATTGGTGAGTGATTTTCGCCACAGGCGATGGACCTCAACCTCAGAGATGGTGATTTCATTTAGTAATTATATATGTTCATTTAATATTGGTGTAATACTCATTTTAAAATAGCATATTTATGCATCTTTCAAAAGTATTATATTACATTGGATTCATATGAGTTCATTGTAGATATTTTCAAAAATAAGAAAAATAAAAAAACGAATTATAAAATATGAAGACAATATCAGGATGCTTATTATTAAACTCTCAATACACACTAGAATAGATTCGATCCTCATTAAAAGTGCATTAATGCTCATTTAGCGAAAGACGCGATTCACTTAGATTACCAAAATGGCACCGACTATACGGTGAAAGCCTGTATGGTATACGGGCTCGTCATTCAAGTACTATCACTTAGAAAGAGTTTTTTTAGTTTTGAATTCATTTAAAATTTACCGTGTAAAAATAACATGATAGTAGAGAATAAGAGAAAAATGCTTCATTTGAAAAACATGAATAGAGATGCTTCTAGCAATCTAGCCTCTTGTATTTAGAATGTTGTCCATGTCTATGCAATTACCAAGTTGGGTTGTTTTGTAAGAGAACCCAATGTGCTTTTTCATATGCACCTAAAATAATGGGGGGGAAATGTTAGCACATGATCAGGTTGCACAGTAAGGGACCAAAACCTATTGAGTCATGCATTGGATTATGCAAAAGCTTTGTTGCTGTGAAGCTTCTTTCGGATTATCTTGATATATATTGTTATATTGTTATTTATTACTTCCCCAGATATGTTCATGAGTTGTTTCAGGACTGTATTGCTCAAGTTATTTTCCTAGTTACAGTCATCTTGCAGTTAGATATATAAACGAGGCCGTGCCTTATTCCGTCTATTGAATTATTATGTTAATCATATGATTCTACCGTGTAAATGGTTTTATGAATATCATAACCCTGCATGATTCAGGTGATACTATCACCGTCATAGTATCCTAAGATACTTTAAAATGCACTCCATCTCCAAAGCCCCTCACCAATGGCTGTAAAGTTTACTGGGATGGTTGAACTGAGCTGCAAATTTGTGCAGACACATTCATTTATTTTACCTGAAAGGAGTCAAGGCAGGGAGGGGCCTAGAATAAATAGGGCTGAAAGTGTCTTCGTGGAGTTTCAAACTCATATGGGAGAGTGAATCAAGACTAGTTGAACTGAAACGCTTCCTGTTTGCATAAACACATTTGTTTGTACTTATCGATTGGTAGAAATGTACAAGCAAAACAATGAGTAAGTAGTCTACACAAGTTATGTTTGGATAATAATGACTGCACATGAGTAATACTAGTAATAAACATAACAAATGCCGCATACGGAGTAACTTGCATCATGCAGGACAGTAGGAGGATAAGTCAGGACTCAAGGTGTAACGCCTCAGTGACCTCTGGGTGTGGCGTTGGAGAATTTCCAGGCTGCCCTTCATTGCAAAACATAATATTAAATTGACAATTTAAATGTGGCAATTACTGGCAAATTGTCAAAAGCAGTAACCATATAGTAGACCTGAATAGCAAGACAAAAATTCATAATTCGAGTATCAGAAAGGTTAGACAATAGACATTCAATCGAAATATACTTTATTTTTAACTCCATTGCACGCTGAGTGCTGAGGGGGTGGGCCCTAGAAAGATGGTCCACAGGTTCTTAGGATTTTTTTTCCTCCCAATAAAATATACTAGTAGCACATGAGGCGAATAATATACTTCCTAGTTGTACACCAAACTAGTTTGTCTTTTTGCAAGACGTAGGAAGGAAAATAAACCAAACGGTTCTTGAACTATTTAAATATTGGTTCAGTAAAGCTTGCCCGGGCTTAATTGTTGAAGCTCAATACAATAAACGTATCAAACTCAAACCTGGCTGTGGATGGATAAGCTAGTTCCCAAAAAATAAAACTATCAAAGCATTCTATTTACAATTTTGATGCGTTTTCTGATATTCAGGGGCGGATCCAGGAAGGGGGCTGGGCGTCAATTGCCACCTCAACCCCCACCAAACCCCTATATGTACAATTATATACTCCCTCCGCATTGAAATATTTGCTACACTTTCTTTTTCAGTATGTTTCCTTTTAAAAAAACTTGATTACTCTTACTTTTCTATTTTTATCTTCTCTTTCATGTTTTTCCACCTCCTCTCCTACTTTTTCTACACTATTATTCGTTACCCCTATTACTTCTCCCTTAAATATTGTGTCAGACCTTATTAAATACGGAGGGAGTGATTTGCAAAGTATTAATACTTACATTTTTGCACATGATAATAGAATATAAACTGATTTTTTAAATATAAATGTACAATCACAATTTAAATTAATTCTAAGTACATACTTGATCCACCTCTAATTTGATTCATTTATTTATTAAAATTATTTTGAACAAATTACAAACTGTGTGATTAAAATTTATTTCTAACATAGAGATCACAGTTTTATCCACCATGAAATTTTATAAATGAATATTTTGCGAAACAATTTTTTTTATTACTATTTATAATTCTTTTTCTTAATGTGGTGAACTGTTTTCGACATCATCATCATTACCCCAGTGCCGCAAAGGCTCCGACCTACGATGGGATAAGTGGGGTTGGACGCGACTTGCGTGAAATAATATCTAGTGCGAGTTTGCCACTTCTTATATTCACTAGAAAGATCTCATATTTGAACAAGCTTCTGAATTTCAATTAAATAGTCCTAAAAATGCTATACTTGGTACTTCTTAATGTAAAATTATTTTTTCAATTAATTGAAGAATAATACTCCCTCCGTTCTTGAATAATTTGTACCACCGGTTTTCCATGGAGACTAACAAAAATAGCATGGGGTATCATATGAGGTAAAAAAGAATGAACAGGTAGAGAATTAGAGAAGAGAGAAAAGTAGGGTAAGAGGAGGAGGAAAAGTGGGAAAATCAGGTCAAATAAATAAATATCTTAAAAATAAATACATGTTATTTATTTAAGAATGGAGGGAGTATGAATTATACTTGACATTTATCAAGCTCGTTGATGCTCGATAATTTCTTGAGCCATACACATGTTCGGAAAACAAAAGCCAGGTGCTACTTGATAAAAACAAACCAAACACTATTCATAGTTGGGTTCAGCTTGGCACAACCCTAGCCAAAGGGCAGAGTTTGGTTAGTTAAGGTTGCATCAAGCGTATAGAGTGGGCCTTTGCAGGGGTTTAGAGATGAGCGTAAAAACTAAGGTGGAACCTAATTAGCAAGCATATACAATTTCCAGAAAAGGATGTGTTTCTTATGCAGATATGTATACTAATACATGAATTGTATAGTCTTCCGTTGTTTGTAAATTTGAAGTAGATAATGATATAGAAACGTGATAGGAACCCACTTATTAGACTAATAATAGATGTAATAATAATAAGTTATAAAGGTCTGGGAGGATTCTAGTATAAATAGATTGGAAGGGGGAGTTAGCAGTAGGCTGTTTTAGACGTTTCAGACTGGGACTTGGGAGGATCGATTTATCTCTTTCCTTTGGGGGGCTTCGGCTCATTGGGGGCTTCGGCCATAATCGTTGTTACGGATTCTGTTTATCTTCAATAAAATTCTCTGATTGTTCTTGTTAATTTCTCTGTAACTTTACTGTTTACCTGGAGGTCTCTATCATTGGTATCAGAGCAGGCGATCGCTGGATGAGACATACTCGATCGAAGATGGAAGGGCGTATGAATGACGTCGAAAGGAGTTTGACTGAAATTGGAAGAAATATGGAGGAATTTGACAGAAATCAGCGTGAGATGCGGGAGATGCAGATGAATATGGAAAGGAACCTGGCAGCGAGTATGGCGGCGATGCAAGCTAGTTTCGCCAACTTGCAGAAGAAATATTCCGATCGATGGATGAGTCGATCGCAACATTCTAATTCATCACATCGATCATCGCGACACCAACACACGAAGAAAAGCGACAGTTCAGAAGGTTCGGATCACAACTCAGATCATTCTACATCCTATAATCATCGCAAGTTCCTCAGTAATCATCGCCATCAGTATCCGGCTGGGAGAAAAATCGATTTACCAATCTTTAATGGTAAAGATGTCTTCGGTTGGTTAGTCAGGATGAACCGATACTTCCGATTGAATAAAACGGAAGAAGAGGACAAAATTGACACTGCAGTTGTCGCCATGGAAGACCAGGCTCTGAGCTGGTTTCAATGGTGGGAAGGACAAGCACATCGTCGGACTTGGGAGTCGTTTACAAAGGCTCTGACCAGACGCTTTCAACCAGATATGGTGCAAGATCCTCTGGGACCGTTGTTCAGTTTGAAGCAAAAAGGGACGGTGGAGGATTACAGAGATAAATTTGAAGTTGCCATAGCTTCGCAGGGGCATCTGACTGAGGAGGTACTTAGAGGAGTGTTCGTCAAGGGGTTGAAACGCGATATAAGGGCTGAATTGAAGCTATATTCAACCAGAACCCTAGCTTCAGTTATGGATACATCATCATTGATTGAAAACAAGAACAATGAAACTAATATCATGAAGAGTAAAGATGATGGAAAGAAGATCTTGAAAACAAATTCATCAGGTGGACAGAGCTATCATAAATGGGGAGATGGTAGTCGAAGTAGTTATAATCTGGCATCTACAAATCAATTGATGAAGAACTCAGATGGTAGCAAGAAGCTGGAAGAAGGATCAAGTTCTGTTTCTAAGAAGACAAGTCCCAGATTATCACAGAATGAGCTGCAAGAAAGAAGTAAGAAAGGGTTATGTTTTAAATGTGGTGAAAACTGGAATCGGGGTCACATCTGTAGTATGAAATTTTTTAAAATGATGCTGGTAGAACTATCTGAAGGGGAGGAAGCTGATGTTGACTATAGTAAGGATAAAGTAGAAGAAGGAATACATATGGAAGCTAAAACTATGCAATTATCTGTATTGGACAAAGAAGGAACACCACCCATGAGAACATTCACTGTCCTGGGAAATCTGAAATGGATGACTGAGGAAAAGAAGGTGAATATCTTGATTGATTGTGGAGCTACTCACAATTTCATTTCACAGAAGATTGTTGATGAATGGAAGATACCTTTTAATTGCATTAAAGGGAATAAAGTGCAGATAGGGAATGGGGAATTTCTTCCCAACTATGGTAGGTGTGATGGGTTGACAGTGGATGTACAAGGAAATGAAATTCTGCAGAAATTTTACATGCTGCAACTGGGTGGAGTTGATGTCATGCTGGGAATGGAATGGTTAGCTGGCATAGGAGATATGACAGTTAACTTTCAAAATCAGACTATCCAATGGGAGGTACATGGGCTGCTGGGCAGAAGGTACATATACAAGGAGATTCTTTATTAAGGCAACTGGGAGCTTACAAGGAAATGAAGAGCCTGATAAATAAGAAGGGAGAAGGAAAATTGCTGAATTATCAGTGGTTATCAAAGGATATGGAAGGAGAATGTGTACAGAAGCATGAAGTTGTTGTCCCCTATGTTGCAGCAGGCTGCACCTTGGTCTCATCAGAATCTGTAGGAATCAAAGTTTTGGATAAAATGTTATGGCATTTGAGTAACTGCTGCGAAATACATATGGCAGAAGATAGAAGTAGCAAAGCTAATGATCCAGCAGTCAATCAAGTATTAGAAAGGGAGAGGGGCTAGGATGAAGGCAAAGAAGGAAGTCTTGGCTGTTTCCTATCACCCACCTTGAGGGCAAGGTGGATGTTTAGGGAGGGAGTATTGATAGGAACCCACTTATTAGACTAATAATAGATGTAATAATAATAATAAGTAATAAAGGTCTGGGAGGATTCTAGTATAAATAGATTGGAAGGGGGAGTTAGCAGTAGGCTGTTTTAGACGTTTCAGACTGGGACTTGGGAGGATCGATTTATCTCTTTCCTTTGGGGGGCTTCGGCTCATTGGGGGCTTCGGCCATAATCGTTGTTACAGATTCTGTTTATCTTCAATAAAATTCTCTGATTGTTCTTGTTAATTTCTCTGTAACTTTACTGTTTACCTGGAGGTCTCTATCAAAACGATATAAATTCATGCATTGTTTTAGTTTTTATTGAACAATACCTGTTGATTATACAATTTGCAGTTTATCAGGAAGTACTTCAAGGCTTTGTACCTTTGACAATGCTTTCAAAGCTTTATGACATCTGTAATTGAAGATTAAGTTATGACCGGTTTATCCCAGTCTAGGGAAAACAAAAGTCTAGTTTTAACATACCTCCAAGGTAGATGATCAAGAAAAATAGATGGAGATACTATGAAATCTCTGAAGGATTCTCTCTTTGCAATATAGGCTTTATATGTACAACTTGTATCCCAGGTTCTCCAGCGGGTCCAGAAAGACATATTTAGGTCATCCATATGTGGTATGATATGGATGAGAAGACCAGGCAGAAACATCTCTGGGAGATTCAAAGATGATTCGCTTCCCGAACAAGGAACAGCTTCCATAAATTGAGTGATAGGATCATCATGTAAGTACATATCAGTAGAGTGAGTAAACATATTGGTATAACTACTCAATGTCTCAGCTGAGCAAGTTCTGTGATTACAGCGTTTTGCTCCAACTTTCCAACTTGACTCCTGCCTAGTCGCTGGAGAGAAAGCATCAATGTAAAAGTCAATGCTAGAACTGCTAGTTGGATGTGCCAATTTAGAAGATAATACAAATCAAAAAGTTGAACCATGTTAATGTATTTATCCCACATCGATTAAATATACAATAATAAATCAGCATTTAAAATTCTAAGATTCTCCACCTATATGCTTTTAAACTTAAGAAGGAAATTTGAAGTTTAAATATGGTACCAAAGTGAGGTCCAATTGTGGCTTGTTTGTTCTTTGGCACTCAATCATTCATTCACTCTCAAGTTGTCCCGTTCGATTTGACTGAAGGGACGCGTTGAAGTATTTGTCCCATATCGGACTAACATAGTCATATCAGGTTAATATTATTGGATGAAACCTCAAATCTTAATAAATCATACCATTTTGTGACTGTGGAAGATTTGGGTCATCCATATTCTCTTGACAAATGTTCAGAAACAAGAACTGGCGTGAGAGTTTAGAAAGTGTGGTTAAATCCATAATGCCATCTTGTGAAAGAGCCTGAAGTGCAGCAGCTTGAAGTCTCATAATTGATCCAACCGAAAGGCGGGATGAGAACTCATCGTTGTATACAATGCTGAGAGGATTTCCATAGTTATATGTCAGTCTCACTGCATAGAAGGAAAAATAAATGCATATTTAGGATAATTAGAGTGCCCAACTACACATTGTATTTAGCAGTACCTGGTTATAAAATCTTTACATGCATCTGCTACCACTAGATCCACACAGGGGAGAGGACCAAATGCATAAACATGTAAGTTAGGGAACTGTCGGTGCAACTGTTTGAAGATACACAAAGAAATGAAGAAACAGAAATCAGAGTTCCGTAGAACTTCAACCTGGAGACTCAAAACAAAACCTGGAGACTTCAAACATTTAAGAAAGACAAGCATGGATGACAAATTATCTAGATAGCAAAGAATGACTTCCTGCTTTGAATAGAAGATATTTGCAAAAGATGTGCTAATGGCTTGATTTGCATTTTATATATAATCAAGTATAACGCATTAAATCTAACATTATGAAAAACCGGTTTACAATTTGACATAACTCAGGGATGAGCTGATTGGTACAATTTGACATGACTCAGGGATGAGCCGATTGGTACAATTTGACATAACTTACATGTTTATATTAGTTAAACGTGAGGATTGTGTCAATATAGGAAACATGGATTGTTTAAGACATAACTTGCACACATTTCTCGGTAAAAGTATGTGTAGAAGGTTCTAATACCTAATGTAATACTTTATAGGCTAATATAAACATATCACAGCACATCTGCATTTTTAAGACAAAAGACCATGACTGTTTTTTATGTGTGCTGCCCCCTAAGACAAGTAGACTTGGCCCATCCTACAGCTTTGTATTACATTAGGTTCTAATACCTAATGTAATACTTTACAAGGCATACTCCTCTTCCTTCACATGGTATTAGAGCCACCATACTAATGGCCATTTTCTGAAAGTCAACTTTTTCCGGCTAGAATCTAGCTCCTTTACTGAATGGTGCCCCTCCCAGACTTCTTTCACATGAGTCTTGATGCGGGTTTGGCAAAATCAACACCACCTCAGGGTTCAAATTCAAAGCTATTGCCATGACACATCATTTGAAGGCTCACACCGCCATAGGCCACCACATGTGACACCCCTCCACGACTTTTGAGCTGTTATCTGTGAGATCTCAACTTCTGCGGCTCATCTTGACTAGTGGCTGGCCCCTGTACTCTCCTAAGTTAGGGGCTAACTACAATGACTCTAGCGTGTTCTAGAAAAATCTAGTGTTCCTTGACCAAAGTTGAATTCAACTAGTCTTGCTAGACTCTCCGATGACACCCAAGATCCATCTCTTAAAAGAATTGTCGTCAAGTGATCCTACTTTCAATCTTCCTATTTCCCTCCATAAGAGGAAGCACAGCTGTGATCATCCTATTGCTTCATGTGCTGCTCAAAAGCATTTACCTACTTCTTCAATACACTTATAACATTCCTGCTACTAGTTATTCAGATTTGCATCATTTAGATGTCAAAAATAGTTTTCACGGTGGCTTAACAGAAGATATATGTGGAGCAACCCTCCTGGTTTGTTGCATTCTCATGGTTGAATATAGAATTTGGATTATAGAGAAATGCTTAAGATCATACCCCCTCTATTTATTGGGAATGACGTGAGATTGTTTAAAACGAATCATATTTCATTCAAAGAGGAAGATGTGTTGGATTTGATCGAGGATACAAGATTACTTTATGCAAAGCCTTGTCAAGATACTCTGACGGAAAGTTTCATATTTTTTTGGTAATTTGCAATTTTTCCCAGTTTTATGTCGACTACTTCATAAAATACAGGTGAAAAAGGGAAATAATTAAAAAAATTAGAATAAGGGAATAAAAAATGAGTTTTGAAGTTTCAAAGTTAAGTTATGTTAACTCAAGTCAAGTGAAACTGAAATGTAGTAAAGTTCACATTCAGGATGCTCGAGTGGGCCCAACACCGTTCAAATTCAAGATGCTCAAGTGTGCACCGATCAAGTTCAACTTCAGTTCAGTTAACGAGAAGTTTAAGCATAAAGTAAAGTTTGGTTCAAGTTTAAAGTTTTATGTTTCCAAACTTCCAGAGAACACAAGTTTCAAAGTTTAGTTCCTAGCTTCTAAGTTCAACTTCAATTCAAGTTCTCAATTTTATTGTCAAGTTTCCGTTTATTTCTTTTCATCCAGCTTGGAGCATATGATGCTCGAGCTTGAGGGATATTGGTGTATAAAAACATACTCAATTATAGAAATATAGCAATCCCAGTTAAGTACAATAATTTCCGACTCCAATTTGGTTTAAACTTTATATTATAGTTCCTATTCCTATTAGGATTAGGTTAGATATTTATCCATACAAGTATTGTAATTGTCTTGTTATTGCAAGTCAAGAGTCATAATTGGTGAAGTACTGAGGTATGATGACATATAAGATGAAACAAGAAAGAGTTTGTCTACTATAATAAACACAATATTCTAACTTTACACCGTATGCCAAAAAGAGTACTCCATAAACAACAAAATCGATAAACCTTTTGATAAATATAACCTTTCGAGACGAAGACTTACACGAATGCCAAGCAAAGCAGCGATGGCTCCTCCAAGGGAATGCCCTACTATTCGCATACTATATCCATCACACTCACATCCTGAACCCAGTAATGAGGAGAGAAACCCACCTGTGGTGTTGAAAAGTATATGTGCATTTATATCCACATCAATTGTAAAATGCATATAAAGTCCTCAAATATCACCCTCATATTGTTTTGGCCCTCAAGCTAAACGTTCAAACATTTTAGTCCTCAAATTTTTTTAATTCATATCATTTTGGTTCTTCTGTTATGTTCTTTCATCCATTTATACGTTAAGTGTCATGTGGCAGCTATTAGGTACATGAAATAAGCACCCACATGGTACTTGTTGTATTAGTAACACTGTTAAAGTAAATTACAAATACAATTTAAAGTAGTTTATTTACTACAGCAAATATACTTATTTTCTCACACATACATATACCTAAAATGTATTTTGTAATCTATTAAATGATTTAAGATAAATACAATTGTTATTGCAAATATAACTAATAGTCTCTAAAGCTAGTGTGCATTTTAACATAACAACTACTTATCCTTTTGAAAAAATGTTTAACTTCAAAAGTAATTTTTATTACCATAAAACACTTCAGCATTCAAGCCTTAATCCCAAAAGATTTGGATTAATATCAGAGTATATTTTAGTTACCATAAAACACTTACCAAAAAATATCAAAGTATATTTTAATACTTGATCACATGTACAAAATGTGTTAAAATACAAAATTCTGCTTTTATTCTATCAATAAAAGAAAGCTACACAAATAGTGGACTGAAAAGGTTTTACATACATATTGTTTGCTTTGCGTATTCTTAAAAAATAAATTCTATAACTTTTATTGCTAAGGAAATACCATGTGAAAAATAAATGATTTTAAAATGAACGACTAGATGTTAATAATTAAATACATGTTGATTTTCCATGATCATTAATTGGATTTGCAATAAAGTTTTAGGTTGAGGATCAAGAGGATACAAGGGAAAGAGTTTGAGTAAGGACCAAATAATCAATCACAAAACTTCTAGAAGAATGTAAAGGTGAAAGTGAAGATGCTTTTATAAGTTTGCAATTTCTAACTCATTAGTTGATGCTAATGTCTGGTTACTAGAACATGCTTATTGACACTGGCATTTGGAGTCTGAAGCAAAACATGTCATACCATAACGAATTCCCTAATATATCTAATGCCATAAGGAGAATATGCACCCAACAATAAAAAGAAATCTCAAGGAAAACATACAAAAAAGGGTAGAAACACAATGTGAACCATGTCATTGCACGGGATACAGGTATTGGGGAACTAGTTATATGATGTTTTAAGAGCATTGAGATAACATGTGCTACTTGGAAGGGTAGAGAAGACAAGAGATTGGTATCTTATCTACACATTTAGCGCCACTATGTGTGTGTGACCTTGTGGTTGCGCATAACACCAAGGGATATAGCTATTGTAAATTTGCATTCTATAACACATTGCCATGGACTTGCAAAGTTTTGTTTGATGTGTAGTGAGTGAGCTCATTTTCAAGGTTAATACCAGGAGGGGTGTCATCCAGAAGTACAATAATGTAGTTCCTTACCATCGATAGAATTTCCTTCAACTTGCATAAACAGATCACGTGCAGCCTCGACTACACCAGAGTGAGCATAGTGCACTGGTGATGAAGCTTCTATTTTCTTCATGGTTAATGGGATATGATCTCCATCATGACAAAAACTGAAATATAAGCAAGGGCGCATTCACACAATTCATATTCATGGTATGGTATATGTACAAAATAGCATATTTTATTATAGTGTGCGCAGGCAGGGCGTGCCTGGTGTGTGTGTTCCATCAGAGAGAATGAGACTGCTATTGATGGCTGACTACATGCACAACTTGTAACATTGATGTCCACCTAGTTAAATTTCATCACTTTTGTTGCAACTTGCAAGGCAACAAAATTCTTGTACAACTCCAATCCATTTACCTTGGGTGATAAAGGGTGATTAAAATGGACTAAGTATCATTGTAAGACTTTATTCGAAGTCTTAAAAATGTAACATTAATTCCAAGTCCTACATATAAAGCAAAAATTGAACCAAACTTTATCAATACATCTTTGTGGCATGGCTAGAGAGAACAATATTGCTGGATGACTTCAAAAAAATCAACATGGATACCCCCCTCAGAAATGAAAATAAGAGTGCCAACGGATGAGACCGAACACAAAGTGTCAAAAAAGATGGAAACGGTGAAACACATAATAAATCCTAGGACTTGCATTGCAAGAATTTCTCTTGAGAACAGTGAGAGTGTAGTACATAAGATGAACTCATCTAGATCCAACAGATAATAGCATAAAAAATTCTTCGATTGGTCCACAAAAAATAGCAGTGAATGAAAAAAATTAAGCACTGGTTGAGAGCACAAATCACTCCCCTTTCACTAAATAGATAAGGCCAAAGTGGGGCACACCTTTTAAAAATAACTTTGATTTTTTCTATTTTATAATATGAGTCACGTCAACACGAAGTTCCCATAACAGTAATGTGACCTGCCAGGTAAAGGAAGGGAGACTCGATCGGGTCATTGTTTAAAGAAATAGTATGTGGTTGAGGAAATTAGCGAAAGACTTGACAGAGAAGAAGATGGTAAAGCTGTGGAATGTGGGCATTTCATAAGGAAAAGTCTGATTGTCGGTTTCACAATTTTGAACGTAGTAGACCATTTTAAACTTTCTATTTCACTCTTTGTTTTTTCAAATTTCCTTCCTCCAGAATCTGCTCCCCTTGTGTATGACCTTTTCCTTTTTTCTTTCCCCTCTCCCTCTTTTTTTCATTTTCTTTTGTGATGCCTCGTTTTCCTTTTGCTGTTTTACGTCTTCTTTCTTTTTACTACTGCAGTAGCATCTACATTCATTAGAAGTAGCAGAAACGATGGTGAAAAGAGGCAAGAATGGAAATTGGATAACTTGGCCAAAAAACAGATATATAAAAAACAGCCATATGTTGATGTAATTGTATTTGTGCCACACTGTCAGTACATAAGATTTTGAGCCACTCATCATATATGATTACCCTTTAAGATGGAACACCAAAATTTAATATGATACCAATCTGGTCTGGTTGTTGCTTAATTGTTTGTTTGGCACGACTTAAAGTAGCCCGTTCAGGTCTGTTTGATTAATTTTTTCACATCCCAAGTTATCCTGTCTGATTTGGGATGAGGGCATGTTAAGGTATTTTTTTCTCACACCCGTTGAAGTGTAAATATATAAGATCGTGGACTCCTCTTATGTAAGGTGCTTATGGAATGACCCATCAACAATCTAGCTGCTGCTAGCTTAATGATTTTATTAGGACAGTGAGCCAGACATAAAGATACTATAGCAGGCAATAAGAAGAAACCAGCGTATGTCAAGACTTGACATATAAAGTTGTTTTAAATTCCAGAGCTATGATAAATGACCCATCAACAATCTAGCTGCTGCTAGCTTAATGATTTTATTAGAACGGTGAGCCAGACATAAAGATACTATAGCAGGCAATAAGTAAGAAGAAACCAAAGTATATGATATAATTGTTTTGGATGAGATCTGGACAAAGATGGCAAGTTTAAAGGCCACAAGGGTATATGGCAGTTCGCTGGATATAAGCCTTGGAAAGAGGCACAATGCCATGTTGGATATTGAGAAACTGAAGAGTCTAGCGGGTTGCATAAGCTAGCCACCACCCACTAGGTACTGGAAGCAAGAACTCGTGTAGCAATTAGGAATATGTAATGACAGACTATAAATTGTACGATGTTTTAAACACAGTGGAGAAGTACTCATGTTTATTTAGAACAATACAGTGCCAGCGTAACTTGTTGGGCTTAGGGCTATATTCTGTGCAAGCATCTAACACCAACAAACTACACCTAACCTTTAACAGTAACTAAGAGTAACACAACCTACATTGATCTTCCATTATTTTCTCAATTGCCCGTAATCCCCAATGCTGTTTTGCATGGTCATCAGTGTGAGATTTGCTTTAACTTCGACATTGATGTTGTTCCGTTCATATGTACTACCTCTGTCCCCGAAAGAAGTTCCCGTTCGGTTTACGATGCTTGACTGACGATAAAGCAACTCGATCCCTATTCACACTCGGATTATTTTTAGTAAATAAAATTTACATATTCAGAAACTAAATTAAAAACGCTACAAAGTCTGATCAAGAAAATTCAAGTTCGATAAAAATTTGATCTATAAAGTAAAGGATTAGGAGTGATTCAAGTTGACCAATGAATAGTGACTGGGAACTTCTTTCGGGGACAGAGGGAGTATTATGTTTAGAGGAATCACATACAATTTCAAACCGATGCCAAGAACTGTCCTAGAATTCGGAAATTGAAGGGTAGAAAACTCTATAGTAATTTTTAGAGCTTACTTTCACACTGGAGCGTGGACACCTAATTTATGCAAAATTGGCCTTTCATGGAAATTGAAACCTCATGTCCGAACATGGTACAGAAGTTGCCATTTAAAAAGCAGAGTGTTTGAGTGTGAATGCATGCACGAAATATATAGATAGATATAGAGAGAGATATACTTTACTAAACCATCTAAATCTCCTTCATAAAGGCTGCATTCCCGGCATAAACCATCAGTAATGAGGTCTTCAGGGGTCTCAGTTCCACGCACAGCGATCACAACAGTTCTTAAGTGATGCAAAACGACAATGAAGTACGCCGCTTTACACTTCTCCTAAAAAAGAACGTGAGACATAAACTTTAATTACATCTGGACTTGAGAGTGTGTATGTCTGAAGTTCTGAACTCTGAAATATTAGCTCAGACAAAAAAAAAGGACCTAATATAACAGCACTAGTCCACATACGGTACAATTAAATTTACAAAAAGCTTTAATGCTCAATCAAATGTACAATATAATGACCCATACAGCCATAAATCATTTGTATAAAACGTAATCATTCCATTGTATTGATCTACACAGGGAACACCAACAAAAAGAAAACATTTGTGCAACTGAACTACATCTAGAAAAATACAAACAGAAAACGCGCATTAAAGACAAGAGATTTAACTCCTTTCAATGAGTGCACTTGAAATATAGAAATATAAGAAAATTAAAAGTGCAAAATTTAGTAACCCTAGGTTTAGAGACCCTAAGGGTTTTCATATTTTGGTTACGCCTTATCCCATTATTTCTAATACACAAATCTCACTTCCTGCATCTCATTTTGTTTCTTACTCATACAACGAAGCAAAGATGGACAGTATTTACAGTTCAATTTTTGTAACACTTAATATAATATGAGCAAATAAACTTCAGATATTAAAAAAAAACTATATTAAGAGATTCAAAAGTTTCACAAAACAAATACTGTCAAAAGTAAAAAAAAAAAGTAATCTATAAATAATCTATCTACAAATAATACATTTCAAAGATACATTTCATTTCATTTTCATTTTATTTACCCCAGTGCCGCAAAGGCTCCCACCTACGATAGGGTAAGGGGGGGTCGGATGTACACAGCCTTACCCCTGTACTAAAGCACAAAGAGACTGTTTCCGGATGACCCATAGTGAAAATCGCGTCCAAAATTGCATGGACTGACTGCTGCTTCATAACAAAGAAGCGCAGACAGTTTAATGAGCCATTTTGCTTTATTCCATCATATTCTCAAGCCAAAAAATAATGAATCTTTGGCTCCATTGAAAATGATGGAAAAATTTTCCATGTGCCATCTTCTAAGCAAACACTCATTATAATACTCTGGATTCCCTTTTCAATTTAGTATCAAGTGAGTATATTAACTCTACTACTAAAGTTACTAATGGATGCAACTTTGATATACTACGTAGTACTATTTGATCATGAAAATTGAGATCATTTCATTTCTGAATATGGGTAACTTTGTAACAAGCTCTCTTACCTATAACCACAATAAACCGATATTATATGCTACAACAAATTTAAAATGTGACTTACTTGGTTAACACGTCCCTTTCTAAGTACGTCACTTGCTAGCTCGACATATTTCAAAAAAGCCGCCGCGTGACCTCTCCACCAGTTATCCCCTTCGAGTAATGGCAGGCTGCAATAAACAGGTTAAAATTGGCATCAGATAGCAAAATCAAAAGGTTTTATAATTTCACAAATCCAGACCTCAAATAAGAATATCATGATTATCCTTAAGTAAATGAAAATAATATTGTTCTACTGCAAACAATGGAAGTTTTATATGTAAATCATCAAGAGAGGAGTTCATTTACAGTTCTTTTCTTAGTTTTCATTTTATTTTATCTTGTTTAAATTATATTATTATAACTTGCATTTTTTTTCAAAACACTCTTTCGGGACACATGGTTCAAGAATATCTGGTTAGGACCTGATTCTATAGAGCACTAGGTTTGTCAAACCACCCCCTTTTGCACATTTTTCAAGTGTTCCACGATTTTCCTTTTGTGCCTATAAGAGGCGTATCAAAGTAATCTTGAATGCAATCAATAAACAATCTTCACCCCCAACACTAGAAGGCTAGAAGCATCACATTTTCGCTGCATCAAAAATATTTTCACATTGATTCATTTTCTGTCTAAATTAGTTTTTTTTTGTTCTCTACCCCCTTCAGCCTTCGCTCCAACCCAATTTATCCTCTACTCTACTCCTGAAACTTCTCCACAAACTATTCTTCTATGACAGAGGGTAGGAATAATATTTCCAGATTGATTGTTTTTATTGTTGAGAATTTGTTTCAGTCTTATCAACTCCCTCCTCTCGAACCGCGTTTATCCTCTCACTCTACTCCTGAAACTCAGTAAACCATTATTGTATTACAGAGGGTAGTGATAATTCCATCAACGACATTACCATTGTAGCTCCTTAGCTCCTGATTGTTTTTTATTGTTGAGAATTTGATTCAGTCTTATCAATTCCCTCCTCTCGAACCGCGTTTATCCTCTCACTCTACTCCTCAAACTCAGTAAACCATTATTGCATTACAGAGGGTAGTGATAATTCCATCAACGACATTACCATTGTAGCTCCTTAGCTCCTACAACAGTGCAACATTAATCCAGACGTTCCAAATGTACGGTAATCCAGTTATTGATTAAATGGGTTCCATAGCTTTCAGGTATGGTCCCCTACAGTAGATTTCTGATTCATGGGACAAGGCGTAGCAAATCATATGACCACTCAAGGTGACAGTACTCAACAGTCAACATGAGAAAGAGATTTGAGAGATTTAATGGCCAATTATGTGTTACACTAGTCACTTTCACAGAAGGCACGTTTTCCAATTTTTCAAAGGAAAGCTATTTGGCATGGTAAGAAGCTGAATCGTTACATAAGTAGATAACAAACTATTGTATACTTTTGTATATGAAGAATGTACAGAGCGCATGGACATACAACTATAGTACTATACAAGTACAGAACTTGAGATAATGCTATGCCCATACTAACTACGGCTGCAGTATGGTTAGGGCTACAGCTACAGTGCTACACTAGCGCCAGTACGCTACTACACTTAACACTCTCCCTAAACCTGGAGTATATAAATATGAGTCTGCTTGTTACAAATATATTCTATTTTAGGAGCTCCGACAGACTTGGAAATAAAACCAGCCAATTGATAAACAAAATATTGAAGTTAGTAGTAATGCATTGAGCTTCTCATAATGAAATGACATCCCCCCTATTATACATAGTTTTTTCATGGTAAACCAGGTCTGTACCAATTCGTAAGGATGCCTGGCTATCAAATATTAATGTCATTTGGGCAACACTACCGTATCACAATTTCTGGATCAAGTGCTTCAACGTTCAAACTCACATGTAGAAAGAGACAGAGTTCAATATTCTGCTTCAGCATTGGATCAAGTGATTCTTACTTTTTCAAGAGATCAAATTTCCACCAATAAAAAAACAATATTTGAAGTTCCTTGATCGGAATTTTATCAATTCAGGCCCCGAAAGATAGATTAATTATCATTTCAGGACCCAAAAGATGAAACGTATCGGTATAGGACCCGAATGATGAAAAACTATCAATTTAGGACCTAACATTTCATAGGTTTTGATTTATTTTATTTTGTATTAAATCCATTACTAATTTTTGATAAACTTTTCTTCACAAAAGTTTATTAGTTTAAATGTTTAATAAAACTAAATAATATTTAAATCTTTTAAAATAAAAATAAAATAAAATTAATGACAACTTAGGTCCTAGATTGATAGTTTCCAATCATTCAGGTCCTAAATTGATAGTTTTCCATCATTCGGGTCCTATATCGATGCATTTCATCTTTCAGGTCCCGGATTGATAATTTGTCTATCTTACGGGTCCTGAAATGATAAAATTCCTTTTTATAATATCATTTCCACATAAATTACATGCAATATACATTTATCATCCTTGGAATGAAGAAAATATACAGAATCCTCCACTTCATTACATATCAATCCATAGGCACTTATTCCACACGTTCAAGAAAGCCTAACATCTCCTCCTATCAGATTGGTACTTTGAAACTGAGCCTATTGGACAAGAATGATATAGTGGTAGAATATCATTCTTATAACAAGCTTCAGCTATCAATGGGGTCGTCTACAAGAACTAATAAAAATATTTTCAAGGTCGTCATTTTTTGGCATGTAACATATACTCATTAAGCACCAACATGTTTGGCCTACCAAGGCTTCCCTTCATTCTGTAACACTAGACATCACTATCCGTATTTGTTCATTTTTTGGCATGAAATATACTCATTAAGCCCTCAACATCCTAATGTCTCTTTTACACCTTTAATCTATGTTATTTTTGCCCTACCAAGGCTTCTCTTCATGTCTTTAACACTCTAAGGCATCAGTCGCCATATTTGGGCAGAGAACTTGCATCTCCATGGCTGACATTTCTGAACCAATGCAGCTTGTTTTGCCTTACTTATACAAGACATAGGCGACAAAAGATGATAGTTTTTGCTACCCATTAACTTATCCATAGTTATTGCATGAAAGTAATAGAAGGTGAAGATCACGTGACAGCACAAGCATTATTGCAGATTTGCAGCACACTCAGGCACATGAGGGAGGCTGAGAAGCTCTGGTGGTTGTGCGACACCGGCCCAAGCATAGTGATGGTGTCATAGGATGAATCTGATGAGCTGAAGAGGCAGATGATGATAAACAGGACCGCATAAAGAACATGTCCCAGAAAAGGGTGTCACCCCGAAGAATAGGACTGAGCCTGTTAATCTGACACCATGTGAAAAATGAAGTGTAGTATACATCTGTGAGTGAAGAATGTGCAGAAAGTATGTTTAGATACAAGTTCTAAACTCAAGAAGGGCTAGGCCAAACTAGGCAACACTTGTATTAAGATTACACTACCCTCAACTATATTCATATGAAACCATTAAGATATCAGAGATGTCAATGGAACCATTTCTGAGAAAAAATAAGGAACACATGACTTAGTTCAGTTAACCAAGTCTAATGGAGGATCACTGAAAGTACGGATTGCCAACCGAGACAAGTTCTTTATTGTCATCTCTCTTGTGAAGTTTGAAAGTGAGTACAAACAAGTTCGTCATGGAATGCATGTAGATGGATTTGTTCAAAGAACTAAATAATTGTTTAAAAGGCCTCACCGAGTCTCCTGAGCTTCTACAGAATCAAAACATCTAAACCTCATCACTCTGCACTTCCACTAATTTTCAGAATAGTAACAGAGGAAGAGGACGTGGAGCAGGGGAGGTACTCATGGAGGAAAAAATAGCTGAGAAGGAGGACGTGGAGGCCCACTTATCTGTGATTTCGGTAAAAGACTGAGGCACACACAAGAAAACACATTGGAAGCAAAAGAAGACACTTCATCTCTAATACAAAGTAAAGAGTTTTAACAGCCAAAAGCTATCAATGATCGTTTTCTTAAAGCTATTGCAGATCAGATTCATAAAGCTATAGGGAATTGATTTCCCACAGCTTTGAATCTAAAATTGTTCTTGCAGATTATTTCTGTAAGGTGTATTCTGCAAAAGAAAGCATTCAGGAAAATAAAAAAAACGTATAGATCCATGCCAGTGAGGAAAACCATTACATTCTCACCTATTACGAGCCCAAGGAGAGAAGATGCCTTGTCTGCGTAACCATGACAAGGGGAAAAATAATGGATTTCTTCCAACATCAAGTAATAGACCCTGTATTGCGCATTTGCACTCACTCACATTAAGCCCAAAACATTTGGTCATGGTAGTTTATAAAAGGTCATAGCAAAATCATCATACAGTATATGCAGCTTCAGCGAACGGATGAAAGAGACCTGCCTCCTGAATCCTTTCCATGGGCACTGGTAGGGGCTCTTCACATAACTTAGAGGATGAACTATATCTATGCAATAAAGCTAACCCTGAACATAAAGAAAAGAGCATTTTGTTTAGACAACATAGAAAATGAATGATTGTAATCAGTGTATCTAGAGGCTAAGAAGCCATCTCTTTTGTTTGTTACTATGTTCTTCCCCAAGAAGAAAACTGTGCAGATAAAAGGATTTACTTCAATGCAACTAGTATGTGAAGTATAATATAAAAATATACATCCATGAAAAGACTATTGAATAATAGATCTTGATATCCAGTCATAGTCATCAATTCATCATCACTAACTCCATCACCCCCATGTCCACAGCTATAATATACTCACCTTATAATAGAAAATCCAATATTGATCAACATTAGCATTGGAGGTCTAACTTGAACTTCTGATATATTTTGTACCACCCATTAAATTTGAGAAATTAGATTTATGATCTAAGCAACAGGAAGAAGTGAAGAGCCATACTCGTAATTAATTAATTGACAATGTATAAAGATAAACAAAAGATACTCCATACATGTACTTTTTGTGGAATATTAGGGTTATGACTTATGAGTTATTTCAGTGGTAAATCTATAAATTATATGATAAAGAGTTTGCTAATATAGGGCCCATTTGGTAACACTGAAATTGGCTGAATCAACTGAATATGCTGAAATTTATGAATTTCTGGCTGAAGTGGCTAAATTAGCTGAATCTGCTAAGTTATGAAAAATCATAATTAAAATATATTTTAGTAATAGCATTAAGAAAAAATTACATTAAAAATAGCCAAAGTAGTTTTCTACACTCACTTTAGCCAATTCAGCCAGAAAAGTAATTCCAACCTTACTTATTTTGATTATTACACAACTCAGCGAGCGGAGTAAAAAACTATGTGTTTGGTAAAAAGTTGGTTGATAAGACTCATAAGCTGAAAATAGGGGTTACCAACAGACTCATAATATTCTTTTATTTGTTCAATTATGAAGATTTAGTACTACATTCAATCATGTATTATGTATTAAGCCATGTGTTAAGCGCCTTGGTACAAGATCTAGTACAAGGTCGTTGATGATGAAGAGAAGAATTTGAAGGCACCATGATAAAAGTTTTTGGGGGCAAGGTGTAGTACTTTCTGGGGGCAAGGTTTTTCATTTAAAAGGTGTTATTGATTGGTCCAAGTATTCACTAGAATTGTGTTGGAAAAAAGGTGTTATGAGGGGCATGTCACTAGAAAAGATGGACAGCCAGAAACAAATATGATTGGAAATCATGTGAAAGAAGAAGATAAACTTTGTATATCAATTCATATATCAAGTACATGTCCACCACTATACCCAAATAACTAATATTGTACAACCGTGCAAGAGTGATTGACGTCTATGTCTGGTATTTATACACTTCCGTTGTAATTTTATTTTCTAGAAAACACGGCAAGTCTAAAAACTATTTAATTAAGTTTAAGTTGATTAGAGAAAAAACTAACACTTAAGGAATATAGAACATTCAACCAAACAATTGTTGCAAAAAACACACCCTGTCCTATTTTATGTGTCTACCCCTACACCAAATTTTAGCTCAAGTCAGGTGCAGTTAGTTTTTTCAATGTTTAACTTAGAGTGGTTAGGAATGATATGGTACTTATTGGGTTGGGTGAGAGTATGACTTTGGAGAGAGTGAAGTGGAGGGACAACATACGTGTGGAGGATTGATCTCTTTTTATATTTTTTGGCTCCGATTTCATTTGTGGATTCATGTTAGACGACCCCAAACTCTTTTGAGAGTAAGACTTGATTATGGTCGTTGTCGTTTAACTAATTGACTTAGAGCGGTGTTATTAATAGTTAATGACAGATAATGGCAGATGAAAAGGAATCCACCATATGGTGCCACCATAGACTAATTTTTATTTTGAAAACGCCACAATAGATTGTTATTCTTCACAAATTTGCAATGCCGCCCACCAAAAACCTGATACTCCAATCCGCCACAGCCACTAACAACACTGACTAGAGTTAGTAAACATAATATGTTTAGGTAGAAACTACGTAAAAGGTTTTATAGTTTTGACCTAACATAACTTATTAATGGGGGCACATAGGAGATAACGTGAACATTACTTTATTATAGAGAAAATATACCTGCCAAGAATTCCAAATGTCCTCTTCCTGATGCACGATATGTAACAAGATCACCCAAAAACTCTGCAACTGAGTAAACTTCATCTTCATCCAACGCACTCCTAAAATCTTAAGAGGATAAAAATTGCAAGGAGAAGATCAAACAAATCTATGGCAATGCATGCAGAAAACCTACAAGTAATTAAACCGTCCCAGACAGCACAAAGCTTGACGGATGCCATTATCAAACACCTCCCTATAGTGTGCCTTCCATGCATAATCCTCCGTGGAATAGAAAGATCTCCATCTCAAAACATCAGATCCTGTGACAAACTGGACCGGGGCAACATAAATTACAATTGACATGAAAAGGAAAACTGTAATTCGCTGCCATTTTATACCACTTGAGAAAAGCTCTGCAAGATATAGTTAAAAAATTGCTACCTTGGGTCAGTTGTGTCACATTGATCAACATAAAATTTGCAAAAAGATATTAGAAAACAGCCTTTCGCATGAATTACAAATGCACATGATCTTGAAAAATAATAATCCATAAATTGAACAAAGAAAGTAGTCCCTATTTGTCAATTTAGCTTTGTTGTTATATTTGTTCATCTCAAGCTATGCTCTCGTTTTCTCCAATTCGTAATAAATATCTATCACACAATTTCACTTTCTTAATAAGCATGCCAAAAGCAAATAAAATTCTAATATGAGACGGACGGAGTATATTGTATCAAAATGTTTATCCATTCTTCAAAGAACTCTTTGTTCCATTAATTCATATACAATATGTCACGTGTTTTCTTTTTACTAGTTCTCAAATGCCCTTTTCTACTTTATCATCATATATTTGAATTGGACAAAAAAAGTATTGAGCGGAAACTGAAAAAAAAACATTTTCTGCATACACAGCAAGTTTCAAAATCACAAATTGTGCTTTGTCCATATCTACAGGCCAGCAAACGGCTAAAGGGAAAATTACATTTCAACAAAACCCATTCAATGTCAACATCTTAATCTTAACTGCTTGGGGTTAGTTCTCTAGAATTTTTAGCATCAACTAGTTTTCTATAACTTGTTAACTTAAATCCGTGCAAAAAGCATGAAAATCTAAAACCTACATCATCATATAGTTTATTTCCACTTGCGTGAAAAACATCACGAGTGATGAGACAGCGATGAGTTGAAATAGTTGTTAGAGCCATGTCTATTACATAATTGACATGGTAGAATAAACACAAAAATCATGAACATGGTCATAAATTATTGTTTACAGCACTGTACATTAATGAGTAATACATAAGTGTAACTATAAAACATATAAGCCAGTAAAATGGTATTTACAGGGTAGATTCCATCAGTATGTTTTCACAAGAGAAAGGCTCTCCAATTTTGTTGCAAAATCTGTATCTAGGGGTGGCGACAGGCTTTCCAATACACATTTAATTTGTTTTTACCTTTTAGGATCAAGCATTTGACAAACAATTCCATTTAGAAAGGTTCTGCTATTATATTGCTTCCATAGATATTTTACAGGTTTGGACTTTCACCTTATAGACTAATCTGCTCATGCTTCTAAATAGTCATCTTACAATTCGTACAAATACAACATTGGTTCTGTAGCATCTCTTTATAAAAGCCCATTACGTCCTAAAGAAAAACCAGAAGAAAAGACAATACATATGAAGCAATTCCAAGCTAAGATTACCTGGAACACAACTAGTTGATACTGCATTTTGATACACCATTTTCGTAAGAGTAAACAGATAATAAGCGGCCCCAATAAATTGCAGCACCGTAATTACTGCAGCAAACCGAGTCCACCACAACCAATTCCGGTATCTCCTCTTCAGTTTAAAGTCATCAAGCAGGAAACAATGTTGAAATGTCAAAGTGAAAAAAATGACCTGTTAAGTTTCTCATTGAATCCGTTTGAAATGAAAAGCAGCCATAGAAATACTCACGTGCCTAGAGCTCATATAAAAATGGTTATAAACGAAGAAGAAAGTACCCGTCGTTCTTGGCGAATACTGGGATCGGAATTGGAATCGGGAGAGAGAATGGTGAGAGCGGAAGCTTTTTGGTGGAATCCAATGCGAGCCATTGCTAGAATTCTAGCGCACGAAATCAACGCAATGAGGGCGACGGCTGCAACGTCGGCTCTCCCGCAAGACGGGAGACTAGCCAACGCCGGCAACACGACAGGAACGCTCAGGGCGACGGTCAGAGCGTTGGACGCTCCTAGAAACCACGCCGACCATCTCACTCTCCTGATCTGAGTTTGAAATTGAGCCATTCTATAACCGTTGTCAGACTTCACTCCTCAGGACCAACTACCTGTGTAACTTCCACGGAGCATGATTCTATCCTCATTCATAAATCATAACTTGCGCGGATGAAGAATGAATTACTATGGTATAAACAGTGGCGGACCTAGGCATAGGTTGTCAAGTGTATACACACTTAATACTATAATAGTACTAGTATAGTACTCCCTCAAGTCGCCGTAATTTAAAACTTTGTTATCTTTGAGTTTCCTGGTCAACCAAGTTAAATTTTGTCCATTAATATATTTTTGTATGAAATAATTTCCAATATAAATATAGATGAAAATAATTTTTGTTAAAAGTATTTTATAAAAGTATAGAATTTATAACTATCATTAAATTATTATAATGGAAATTATTGCCCAAATTATAAGTTTACAATATAATTTTTATTCAACCAAAAGAACACATTTCATTAACAGCAAAAAAACTAAAATTACTTTTGTAGTTTAAATCCTAAATAAATTGAAATATTAGAGAATACTCCCTTCGTCCTGAAAAATTGTTCCCGCATTGACTTGGAACGGAGTTTAAGAAAGTGGGAATAAAGTGGAAATGTATGGTTGTGGTTGTGTAAGAAAAATGTAAATGAATTGTAGCCACAAAAAACTTTCCAAAAGGGGAAAGTGGAAATATTTTTTGGGACGGCCCAAAAAGGAAAACGGGAACAATTTTCTGGGACGGAGGGAGTACAACATAGACATGTTTAAATAATGATATCGATATTGCGTTGCTCTTTACTTTTATGGAAGAAATCGTCCATTAGGGTATTGGGTTTAATAAAAGTGTGGAGAATTTAATCTAGATACTTTAAAATTTAAAGATATTGGGTCAAGACTGAAGTACAACTTACAAGTTACAACAAAGACAAACAAAAGATAGAAGGACGTATACACATCAATGTAGCAAGGGGAAAAATAAAAATTGAGGTGTAGCCCTGGGGCAGCTTCGATCTTTTGACATGTAGCCTTCAAAGAAATTTAATTGCATAACTACTACCAATTAGGCTAACAACATATTTTGAGGTGAAGCCTAGGCTTACCCTCATTATAATGTAAATCCGCCCCTGGGTATAAAATCTTATTAGTCACTTTTTTTTATATAAAATATTGAGAAAAGTCTCAAACTCTCAATTTGATCCTCGTACTATTACGAAAAAGTCAATTAACCTATCGTTGTTTTAACGAAATCAATCAAATTCCCGAACTTTTAAAAATGTTCAATTGAGTTCATTAGCAAGTTACCCGCCACGTCATCAAGTCACCTGCTGACGTGGAACACACGTGACAGCCCAGTCAGCACCGACTTTATTGATGTGTCACCCACGTGTAAGCCTAGTCAGCGATTATGGATGACGTGGTACACACATGGACCATCATGTGTGTGTCACTTTAGCGGGTGACCTGCTGGCATGGGAGGAAACCTGCTAATTGACTCAATTGAACTTCATTTCAAACTTCGGGATTTAATTGACCTTTTTCAAAGTATGAGGTCCTAATTGACTTTTTTGTGATAGTACGAGGACCAAATTGATAGTTTTCCCTAAACTATTTAACTTTTAATGTAATCGTCGAAATAAGTATGATTGAAGTTATTGCTATGACTTGTGATTGATTCTTCATATAATTCTTTTTTTATTATATTTTGTTGATAAAATATATTCTATTTTTTTCATAATTCAAAAGATTCAACCAATTCAATCAGTTCATATTCCACAACAATTCAACCCATTTTAAGTGTTATCAAATAGGCTCAATTTTATTTCTAAAAGCAATTCATTTCGTTAGTAATTTGAATACAGGTACTTATTGTATAAATATTAAAACATTATGAAACTTGTACTAGAAACTAGCATGGCACGCGCTCCGCGCGAAGGTCTATGCCCAATAATGGATAAAGACTAAAGCGTATGTAAAATAAAAGGCAAACAAATAAAAAGTTGTTTGCAAAAGAGCCATACAAGTGTATTGGTAGTAACACAATGTTTGCATTTTGTGTTTTCGAATGTTAAAAAAATATGAAATTTTGTGTTTTTCAACTCATTTTGTGTTTATAAAATAGTACTAATTAACTCCAAAATCTGCATATAAACTTTAGAATCAAATTGCTATAGCATTTATCTTACTTGTATTTCTAGCTCCTCACCCCCTTGAGTTTTAAGAGCAACCGGGCATACATGGATGTCACCTGCACCACCAGAAGAGTAATTATACAATGAAAGTTTGAACAATCCAAATTCGAATAGTTTCAAGAGTAATCTAATAGAGTACCAATAAACAGATCCGTTGACACAGTGACACCTATCAAATTAAAGCAAAACCGTGTTATGACATAGTCTATTATAGCAGAAAAGGTCTTGAGAGAGCTTAAGATAACAATTGCCAGCCCACATAAAAATTAATTACATTATAAAAAATCAGGGAACATCACAATAGTGTAGCTCACGCAGGACAAAGCCTGGAATTAACATTAGGCAACCTATTTCTTCAACAACAAAATTAGAATTGTCAATATATAGAAAAAAAATCAAAGTACCAGAAAACAGATGTAGCATTTACAAAGAGGCTTTGCACTTTTGCTTAAATTTTATGTTGACCATTCTATTTCAATTCTTTCAGTTTACCTTAATCATATCAAATCATAATAGGAGCAAAATTATAGTTAAACACACCATAAAATGAAGAAATTAAATATGCAGGGCAGGAATTGACTGATCTAAAATGCACAATGAAATATCACAATATTTTGCAAATGACTGAAAGTAAGAGAAAGGTAGATTGGCTACTTTGATTGGATGCAGTTGCTGAGTTCGGTGAATCTCTTTTTAACGGAGGTAGCAAACGGAGGTTGTATACAGCGCTAATCATCAAAGACGGCAATAACGGAATAGGACCATACTAACTCTCTTAGACTCTTTAAGATATAGCAAGATATATTAGGGAAAAAAGTGAATGACAAATTAGAAGCTTCTCTTGCCAAAATTGTCATCACTGCCCTTGTGTTCTATTTTCAACTTGTAACTTTGTAAGAATACTTGCTCCTTTGTCTGGAAACACCATGCAAGGATCAATTGAACATGGATCTACATCAACATAAAACATATATACAACATCACAAAATTTATATTGCATTACTTCAGTCACGGTGAAGAAGGTCTCGTGTTTAATTGGTTTAGTTGATGAAGCATTTGGGGGGCTATAATAGGCTAACATTGAAATAAGTTGATGAAATGAGCCACCACAATGTCGAACTCTAAGATGATTGCAGTCAATAAGCTACAATGGTGTGTATTTCAAGTTAAGTGTGTGGCTTATATATATTGACCCAATATTGTCAATTTGTCATTAGGCTCAGAGAGGTAAACTCAAATAAGGTTCGTAAAAAGTAAGTTTCATGGGGTAATCATTTGATATTCAAATAATATTAATTTGGTTTAAGTTGGGAATCCTTTTTTTTTAATATGTTTCACTTAAAATCAGAAAATATGGACTGGTCACTGGTATATATTATTACGATATTCCATAAATAGGAAATCTAAGGTCAAATATGATAGTGATTGTCCACATTTGGTAAAAAAACTCTATTATCTAATTTACTTTAAGAGAGGAAAAAAATTATAGGAAAAAGTATTTCTATGAGAAGGGGAATATCAAATATAGTTAAATTATTCATCACAAATCACCTTTTTTAATCACAAATCACTTTTATCATAACAAATTGGAAAACAAATATTGATGATATGCAACTGAATCTTAAAGAATGAAGTGACCTTGTTTAAATAGCAGCGGAAGAACAGCTTGTTGGAGAAAAAGCAGCGGCTTATTTTTTATTAACTAAAGCATGCATAAGATACTGAAAATAACTGTAAAAAACTGAAATCATTAAATTTATTCAGTGAGAAAGCAGCAGAAGATCACCTCTCAGAATTATTCTGGCGTAGGTTAAATATAGAGTATGCTATTAGAAGCTTTAAAGAGCTAAACTCAGCGAGTTGATATTTAAAATATGTTATGCTATCAAGTGAAAAAGAAAAACAGAAAGTTGAGATTAATACACAAACCTGAAGTTTAGGTCAACCCCCACCCCACCCCACTCCTATTTACAAAGAGAAGAATAGAAATAAAACAATTCACAATAATATTTAGAATAAAAGAATTCACAATAATAAGAAGCATTGATAACTAAAATAAAAACACTACTGAGTGTCACATTGAAAAAGAATCATAGTAAGTAGAATACTACCCAATTAATGCTGCCACAAAAACTATTACTATACATAGTTAAGTTGATTGTAAGCATCTTTTTAAAAAAATGGTCACAGTTCCCTTCTAATCCCAGTTTCCTTCTAAACTGATCACAAAAACTGTGTTTTAGTTTCTAAACACATAAGTAGTATTATCTGCAAAAACATAATAAATTATCTGCAAACACCAAGTGCTCATGCAGTATTTAGATAGAACATTTACATGAGAAGTCATTTTATAACAAATTAAATGCAGAGCATATCTTTTGTAAGTTTATTGTGTTGACGCATTGAATATAGCTTATGATCTTTTAGAAACCAACTTTAGGACTCGCTTCATTGAATCTCAAACATTTCTTATACTCGGACTTTGAGATGGCGGCCTTCTCGAATTACTCTGACTGTCACATAATAAACACACCACTTTAGCTAAAAAATGAAGCGGCTGGAAAATATTTACTACCACTTTCCAATTTTTTGTTGGAAATGAAGCATAATTAAGGGTGTGATGGTGGAAGAGCTAAGAGACCCTTTCCTATGTGTAATATGATATATTGAGTTTCTAAATTAATCTCTATGACTCAGACGGACACCTCTCCATCTCCAACATTGAGGTTAGATTTTTTCTACTAATGGCAGAAACTCTTAAGTTGTCCCGGGTGAACTTCAACCAAGACTGTCTGGCTAACAAATCCAACCAAGACTGCTTTTTTTTTTTTTTTGTGTATGCTCAAGTCAAATTCTTGATAGGCTAAAAAAATCATATCCTTGATAGAACAAAAAAGTTACAAATGCAACTTATGCAAGTATCAAACAAAAATGAATTCAGTAAAAAA